CTGTAAATTAGAGAGAAGATGTAAATATAGCGTATGAAAAAGTGCAAAAGTTGAAATTACCGCCGAATAGTGTAATAAAACAAAACTATTGCAGGAAGAAAGGATTGAGCAGAAATAAATTGAAGCAAGATAATTAAAGCAATGATGCGAAAAGACATTACACCTCTCCATATGTATAGGATGACTTTTGACCTCCTCGGAGTTAGCTTGTATGAATTGTGATTTCGCATCCATTACAAAACAAGCACGAAATTTTACATCATTCAGAGCAGTAATACTTATCTCCAAGGATTTTTTTAATCACTAACCATTAATTAATTCAGAAAGGGAAAGTGGACAATTTAGAAAATAGTAAACTTGGGAAAACAATTATAGACAACCGAAGTTATTAGGGTGCAGCGAGCTGACTATAGCGACCTGATTCGAATCAACTTCAATTCTAGAATCTTATAAATCATTTATAATATTGATAAGTAGATAACTTGGATTGCAAGCATAAAATCAAGACGTAATTAATTTTCTCTGCTTTCGCAATGTTCCTTTTTTAATTTTTCTTCCAAGTGCTTATTCGTCATTTAATTCGTCATTTAATTATAGTAAAATGACTATGCAGTGATTAAAAAAGGAAGCAGAAAGTACCACCAGGGACTAAATTGCATATAATAAAACTGTTGAAGCTAAGGGTCCGATTTTTCACCAGCGCAGCCTTCCTTGCTCATTTCATTAGACTCTTGCATTCTGCTTGATTTAAGATTAAAATTCAAAAAAATTCTTGAAAGATTTATGAAAGTTGAGTTCTTGCCAGCAATAGTGCAAGCTCAGACTTTGGCTTCCTCTAACAAGTTACATATAGAAAAATCAATTTATTGTTGCTAAAAGCTTTGCCATAAAGCTGTTGTCAATACATTATCACATCTACACAAACATAGCATCATAACTACTTCAATTCATTAATGCATATTTCCAAGAAGAGCTTATTATCATCATGAGAGGCTTAGTTCCATCAAGGCAATAATAATCTGTGACAATTTAAAAAAGAATTCAGCTGCTTCTCTAAATCCAATCGTTGAATATTTGATACAAATTCACTTTGCTATATATACGCTCTTTCTTCGAATTTTACGAAACCTATATAACACTCTTTCCCGACTCATTTGCATTGCATATTTTCTCTCACCCGTACCTCTTGCTTGAATCTTCTATGATCATGAGATTCCTTTATCAAGAAGCATTTCGTTACAGTAATCACTAAAAAGTTGCTGAAAAATTAAGATAGGAATGTATTAATTAAGTAGTGACAAGTCTGCGAAACACTACGACTGTTATTATAATTATTCTCAAAGATGGAAAAAGAGAAAATACACTTAAGCATTTGAGAGAGTTTATAGGCTTTAGAAACATCATTTCATGATAATTCTAATTTCTGAAATTTATAATCCATCTCCGGAGATAAAATACAAATTTTTATTCTGTTCTTTTTTTGTAACTAACAACTTTTGGCAGGAATCTCAATAGGAAGCAAATCTTATTCAATTCATCGGATATGCGCTTAAAAGCAAATCCAGGAAGACTGTCTAAAACCATATGGGAATAATGCCAATGCAATGATGAAGTTCTGTTTCACAATAACTGTGTTATTCCAAATTTAAGGTTTATAGTTTTTCCAGAATAGACTGAATAGAGAATTAATAGATGAATGACATGAATAAAGAAAAAATATAGACATGCGCGAAAATCGAAAGTAACAAAGTAATAATTCAATTCAATCAACAAATGTCTTCATAGCTTCAAAGTGTGAATGAGATCATAAGTTCCGTGAAAAGAGAAAAACTCGTTGTTTATTGTAACAAAACGTTGTTTATTGTTATTGTAACAATTATTATCACTGTTACCAACTACTATTACGATCACTATCATCGGAGCAAAATACACAAAATAGGTTTCAGAATCGGAATTCCGAACTTGAAGGTTAGGATCCTGATTCAAGAGTTAGAAATTAAAAAAGTGATTTTCGAAAATTAAAAAAATTCATAGTGAATATTACTTGCTCGCTTCATAATCCACTTAAAATAATTAGTACCGCTGCTCAGGCCTTAAATTTAAATAAAGGTATAGAAGTAAATGAAGCATAGTATCGTGCCTTTTTATTGATTGCTGTCTTCTCTAATTCTAAAATCAACATCCTACCAATTTCAATAAATCATACTGATAAGTAAATAAATGAAAAAACATACTAAGTTTTTTGCTGAAAAAAAATAAATGAGTAAAGAAATATAAACGACATAAATAACGAAAGCAATGATATCGAAGTAAATTATTGAATATCTAAAAATTATTATTATGCGAATAAGGGACATAAAAATTTACAACTTGATTCCCTAAAATCTTCGAACCTTACATAAAATACAGACAACAAGCTAACATCTGCATGTAGCTATTTAGGAATAAGTAGTTGAGTAGGAATATTACCTCATTTAACCAGTTTTACGCATAACACTGCTAGTAGTATTTAAAGACTTGATTTTAACTGCATTTGTAGAATTTTTGAAAAATGCTTCTTCTATTCTTTAAATTTCCATCAGCAGAAATCTCCGTATGAGATAATTGTAAAATTACAGATGCTTATTTCAACAAAACTTTTTTACTCGAGTAGTTTTTAGGCAAGACTATATTTTTTTGTTTTGGATTTACATATGCAAGAAATTTCTGCAATTTAATTCTAAAAGAGCTGAAATTGCTTAATAGTTTGGCCCACCCAGCGAGATGTAATAATTCAAACTGAAGGCTGCCTTCTGCTTAGGAGATTTTTAGAAGAGCACTATTATTTAATAGTTCTGGCTGCATTACGAGTTTGCTTGATAATTAGTCATTATTAAAGGGATTCGTATGTGCTGCCTAAAAAATTACTTTCGCAGAAAAAATAACATAACTACAATCCTGAAATGGAAGGTCGTGATGGCAACAGAAGATCGCTGAGATCACTCCTCATTTCGTAACGTCAGGCTTAAAGAACAGAGAACAGTGTGGAAGGATTTTAATACTTTAATATATTGTTGTATAGCTTAACAAATAAGTATTTTCGATAAAATACCTTTTTTCAGTTAAGAAATAACTGAAGGTGATCTACTGTATAGGGAACAGCTCAGAACATGTTAGAAGTTATAAGTGATGACTGTAACTGTAATCACAGTGATAGTGACAACGATGATGATGATGTTGATGTTGGTCCTGGAAAAAGAGTGTTACCTTCAAATTTCATGATATACTTCTTTGTTGATCGCACAATGATGAAAATTTGAGAATAGTTGTTCTGCATTAGAAATAGCTAATATAGTGCCCACTTTGGTACTGATACTGAGAGTTGAGGGAAGAAGCCGAGAATGGGAGAAAAAAGCAGATTTTGACTACTAACGGGGTGGTGGCACTCTTATGCAATACATCGCTTTGGCACCGAATTACTGAATGAATTGTATATGTGTATATGCTAAGATTCTAACTAGTGAAAAAAGACTTGGTAAGTACAGGAGCATGGAGAAAAACCTGAGAAAAAAATTGGACTGCTGGAAAGGGAAAGAAAATTTTCTAGGCATTATTTCTAGACATAAGTTAGACCATTCCATCTAGGCCTACACTCTCCTACCGCCGACTGGCGTTGCTGGTGCTGTTCCTCCTCTTTGCAAATCAATAGGGTAGTCTAACCCTTTCAAAGCAAGGCCACATATAAAAAGTAGCGCTGAGAGCGAACTCCTTTCATTATTATATCTCCCTACAAGTAAAACTATTGATTTTAAAGAAGCAAGTAGCTAACCAGATGGCCAATAGAAAAGTATACCATTCAGGTATTCCGGTATATTAAAAACATGCATCAGTATTTACCAGTTTATAAGGAAACAATCACCAATATTTTATGGAACCAGTGTATTATGAAGCGTATAGTTTAATGTGATGTTTAGAAAACTTACAGATATGGAATGTATCGACCAGCTAACATGTGCATGCGTAATGGATTGTGTAAAATGGAAAACTGCAGTAAAATGAAAATTCATAAAACGAGACATAATGCGCAGTAAATATAGGAATAGCAGAGGAGTTACAATGCCTCATTCATTAATAACACATTGATATATCTCGGTGATAAAGTGCATTGCTTGAATATATCTGTTATTTAAATACTTCATCAGTCATTCTAACTTTATTTTTTACATCTATCGTGAAATATCCAGAGAAAACTAAGCTTCTCTAACATTTATGCAATGAACTATGATGTAACTCATTAGAATCCGGAACAGTTATATTTTTAACATAAATCGGCTTAATTTTCCTTCAACAATCAAAGCTCCTACAAATTGGACAACCTACAAGTAACAATTAAAAGTTCTGCACTGTGAAGTATGATAATATAAATAGGGCGGAAAATATACGAGAACCACTCAACTGAATTTTGTTAAACCTCACGGGAAGGAATATCATCCAAAATTATGCATTATGTAAAAATTTCATCAACTTCACGGAACCATTATTCATCAAGTCCTTAAACTTGCAAATGTTTTCATTTTCCACTGTTTTTTTTTTGCATTGATCTGACATCTTATCAAGATTCCCACTATCATATTTGTAATGTATAAATTCCCTGAATACTATCTTTCCAATTACTTTATCCACATTTAGGACATTCCGATCTAGAAATTCTGAATGAATTCCACTGCCCATGCCTTAAAATCGATACTTCACTTAATTTCTCCTCAGCATGCTCTCCATTTGTAAGTATCACACTTATACAGTATTTATGATCGGGTCAGTGATGATAGTTTGACAGAATTCACTAACCGGTACAAAGCAACATTACCTCGATAGATCAGTAATCACAAAGCACTGAGTCTTGCTATAAAACATTATAATTCTTTCCTTTTGATTTTTGCCTGTTTTACTGCGGTTAAATAACATGCAGCCCTGTAATGGTAGCAGCAGTTACAGCTGCAGTAGCAGTCGCAATATACAATTTATTTCAAATGTAAACGCTCTAATTTACAAGCAACTGATATAATTTTTTCAATTTCTTCAATTAATCTGCTTAGCATCCCATAATCCATCAAGAAAATTTTCTCATTCTCCATGGAAGTAGAAGTCCCAACAGCATTACGGATTGTCCAGTCACCACAACCATCAGCAGTGCCAACACGAAGCCAAAATTGAAGCATTACATCCGGCGTATGCAGCAACACCATCCGGCCAATCTGTGCATTTTCCTATTCTCTTTTTTTATCATGAAAATTATGAGATCAAGCACCAATATTTTGGATTTTTCAATAAACTGTTTCAAAAAGAGAAAATGTCTACACACTCACAGTCTATCACGAGTTCCAGTATTTAATGACAGCCATAGAAAATGAAATTATGAGACTCATAAAGAAGAGAAAAAATGCCTTACTCATAAAAAATTTAAATATTTAGATCTATTAACGATGACATTGAAACTTTAATTTAAATTCGAGAGATCTGTTAATAATTGTCTGAAGAACTTCCAGTTATTAGTATTTTTCACAGTTTCATAATTCATCTTCACATACCGTCTACTCCTGTAATCAGCCCGCACCGTTTGGAAGAGAAAATCTTAAAAAGACCAAATATGAGAATTCATTTCGCAAATTAAACGAACAATTAGCAGTGGAACATCCACTCAATCAACTTTTCTGGCAAGCTAAATAAATCAAAAACTAAAATTTTTCCCACATTTTAGCTCTTTCTTTTCCCATTTTCAATTTTGGTGCACCTCGTAAATCTATTATGGGAAAAAAAATATTCGTTTATGTTATTGCTTTATAAAATACGTGCTAATGGATCTAGATTTTTGTTCCTTGGATGTTCACCAAAAGAAGCACTTCCGCCCTTTCAAGGAAATCAAGATTTGATTTCTGTTCCTGTTATGAATCAAGAAATAGGGTAAAAAAATTCGCCTAAATTTTTTGCATCCAATTTGGTTCCAGTTTGCTAGAACAATTCTCGACTGCACTGTTGACGTATGTGGTAAGTTAGCGATTCAATTTATCTAATCATTGCAAAAAAAACATCCAGCGCTAGAATCTAAATCCGCAATATAGAGCAGTGACACGAAATGAACTAAAGTCGTCAGTAGTAAAGAAAAGTCCGTAAAAAATTTATGCCGAATGAATTCTGTTGGATGAAAATGGTGAAAACGGTTCAAAGATAACGGACAGACGACAGCAAACGAAACGAAATTAATTAATGCCAAATTAATTTCTGACAGCTCGTGTAAAACTCCTTCTTTTAGCAAAATATTCAAAAGCATGTGAACGTCTTCATTTCCAACATATATTTACTCTTTAGCTTTTAAATCAGTATACCACCACTCTTCTTTCATTCCACTCACCTTCCTTCCCAAATTTTTCAACAAAATGACTTAATGCAATATAAATGCAACAGTGAACTCTTTCCCAATTATGTTAACTCATAAGTTCCTATTCAGAGCAGAAGTTCTCGAGAACAGCTATGTCGTTTTATCGTAATATGTCATGATGTTGTTAAACCCGCTGAAGACTTTAAGAATAAAAAACATGACAAACAGTACAGAATTTTAATTATGGAAATGAACTTCCTTCCCAATTTTTGTGGCAAAACGACTTCGTGAAATATAAATGCGACATTATACATTGTTTGTACATAAGCAATATCCACAGATAATGGTGCAAAAGCAGTGAATACGGAGCATGAAAATGGCTTGGCATGAACTGAATAGTACGATAAAACGGAAATAGTTTCAAGTAAGTGAGGAAAATGAAAGGACATAGAATTGAGAACTTTGAACACAAACTTGTCCTGTTGATGTTTCGTTTCAAAAAAGAGTGAATTATAAAAGCATAACTAAAGAAATTGTTAAACTTACTTTACAATTTAACAGATACTCCTCGCTACACAAAAGTTCCACGAAACATCAAAGGAAGAACTTATTTACAGTTCACGGAACAAAATAAGAGCAATCTTAGGAGGGTAATATCCCACTCTTATTGAAAATTCAATTCGGTGGTATGTCTCATTGAAGTAATAATGTATCGTGCAATTACTTCATCTATGTAATGTTTTGGTATGGCCACTATTCTTATTGCTTGACTCAGTAATGAGCATAGAAAAACTGATGCGTACTATAACATACTGAAATAAGAAGAAGCCGTGCTTAAACTATATTACTTAATATCATACAACAAATGAAATCGCTGATGTCCTTCTTATAAACAATTACGATTTTCATCAAAAATGGGATTTGGCCAAAAAAAAATGGCAAAAATGTAAGATATCAATTAAGGAATATTTAAGCTGTACAACTCTACTCTAAATATTTAGACATTCTATTTCTTTAATATCAGACATATTAAGGTGCCAATAGGAAACTATGTCCAATTAAATTAATTGCAACCTATGATAAGATTAATTCAATTCAAAGTTAAATTAATCAAATCCACATCACCTATACCATGATATATCCAATTAATATATCTTTATTTTTGAAATCTGTGCACTTGATAAAAGACGTAAATACCACTAAAAAACAGAATATTCCTTACATATTATAATAGTATAAAATCAATAAACATAACTGAACCACATTCCAACTCGCCAATTAACAGTGAGTAGCAGTAGTTTTTCGAAATGATTTTCATTTTCGGTTAAGAGAAAGTCAAATAAATGCTTTTAATAAAAGAAAAATCATCTGAATCCAGAAACTAAAAACACAGGAAACTAAACCTCAGTAAAATTTTCTACTGAACTAATTTTCTAGTATTCCAGAGGAAGTTACGTGTAGTATTCCCAAATTCCAAATATGTTTCCATTCACTTTTTTGGATGGGCAGAAAATTTTATTCAAATACTATGTCCAGAGAGCCAAAAACTACTTTACAAAGAACAAGTATCACTAACCAGAGGCCATATGCAGATTAGTACACTCAATCACCTTAAGAGATAAATTCAGTCCCATAAGCTGGAAATGTCACAGAAACTCTTAAGAAGTTCAAAAAATCTTAACTGACCTGAAGCATTTTAAATTTGTTACTTTTGTTCCACTGAATACAATTGATTAAGAGCAAAATTATTAAGAGCAAAGTAACAGACTATAGAATGTCTTGAAACGTTAAACAAGTATCTTTGGAATGTTTTTTTGAAAAATATCTTCAGAAGAACCGAGAGAAATAATATATGGTAATACTTCTTGGTATCGCCAACTTTATAATAATGTAACAATATTATAACTTACTGTAATTTGTAACCGGCAATGAAGAGATCGAAATGGCGGGTATTTAGACAGAGCATTCATCATGATAGGTTTACAAAATTGTTCAGTATTCATAAAGTTGATAACTGTTTTTATAAACTCGTCATTGAAGGAATCATGTGATAAAATGTCCTTGAGATCAGATTCAGCGATCTAAAGACAGAAGAGCTTTGCAACTTATTTATAAAACAGTTTAGTTGATATTTTCATTAACACTATAATAAAAACATAAGCACCACTACTATCAACTAAGGCTTGCTGAATTCCAACAAAGAGAGTAAGCATCACATCATTACATGCAGATACATCACATGATACTTACTAACCTTGTTATTACGTACATAATTACGTAGTTGCACGAGAGAATTGAGACAGCGCCAGATGTCAGCCGAAGGTATATCAACACGGGCTAAAATTTATGATACGAATGTGAAAATATGAAGTTCCTCACCATTTAAAGTAATCTTAGCAATAATATTATATTTTAAGTATAGAAAAGAAAAAGGAGTTCTTTTTCTTTTTACTGAAGCAAAAAGTCAACCTCCACCTGTTTATCATTTTGCATCATTTCCATCTCATGAGTAATCCAGCTCTAAAAGAATGAAAGTCACATAATCCAGCTAGAATTTGCCATTAGTGTCCTAATTAAAAATACTATATTTTATAATGTCGAGGATACAATAGTTGGTGCACTGGAAAGAAAATGTTGCTACTAATAGTTTTTTACTGAAAGTTCATATATCACTACGCGATAGTCTTGTCGTTTCCATGATTTATGAAAAAATTGCAGCACCTGCGAGGGAGTCAACGCAACCCGTAAGTAGCCGCTTTTTGTTGAACGATTCAATTTCTTTGATTATAGCATCGCATACTGCAATGTAATGGTGCAACTATAAATTGTGATAGTCAATTTAAAATACTAAAAAACAACTTTAAAATCCAAAATATTCGTCTCAATTTTTTGATTCATAATTTTAGCCTCTATATTGCTTGAAGCCAAGAATACAGTCTAACATAACGAGCTATCCAATTGCTAATCCTTAACATTTCTGTGAAATAAGGAATTAAGGTCTTAGACGCTATTGAAGATGGAAATCGCTACACCCCAGCACAGCTAATTATTTAATCATTTGGCTAAGCCAAAAATGACACTTACCGCTCGATGGCTCTGCAACATGAAGCAATACACGCAACGGAGACACCAGGTTATCCAGGAACCTTTCCAGTTCGCCCCCTCCAGACATCTGCAACCATCCGCATAGACCATGAACAGTGATCGCCTTTGTCGTTCAGGAGAGATGTTATGAAAATCATAATCCCACAGGTATATTTTTTTAGAGTTATTGAAATGCTATCTTATTGTTTTTCTCTTTACTGAACTGAGAATCTTGAACACGGCACTTCCGTTTTTTTCGCATTAATCAAACAGAGTATTAAAGCCGGCTGAAGTTATATTTGCGTTCCATTCACACATCATATCTTTGCACTTATTACGTTACTTACATTAGCAAATGAAATTTGTTTATTAACTGCTGAAATAATTTGCTCGAACGATTATTCCATTTTTTATTCATCGAACAGTTTAAAGTGAATTTTCGAAACACTTGGGAAATATTTTTAAGTTTTCATTTTCCTTACTCTACAAATAATACAATAATTGAACAAAGAGCGAATACCGGGAGACGGATTACATTTGTTTACAGATAATGTTTTACTCAAATAATTAAACATATCATTATATGAAGGAAAATAACAATAGCAATTGGAGCAATTGGAATGGAGCCCTAAAGCATTCATCTTGATATTGCCAGCGTTTTCTTCTACTATTCATAACTCATCATGTTTAATTAACTTATGAAGCTCGATATCGAAGTACAAGTCAGCTTTGCCAGGTATCGATGGCTTCCGACCTTCAGCACCATATCCTTAAAAATATATAGAAATATAAAAAGATAATAAAGTTTTAAATTAAATCTTTGAATTTGATTAAAGTAATGAAATTAAAATGCCAACCTAATTTCCATGGAATGACCACTTTTCGTCTCTCTCCTTCACACATACCATTCATTGCTCGATCCATACCTTCGATCACCTTAAAAATATAACCAATAATTTTTTAGTTCCTCAATGGTTATTCTACAAAATCATGAAATTGGCTGCTTTGTGTGCTTTAAACATCGTATTTTTTGAAAAGTTAACAAATCTTTTGGTAGCCTTAATGAAAAAGTTATAGGTATAATATTTTTCTAAAACATAATTTCTGAAAAAAAAAACAAAAAACAAAATGAAGTAAAAAAATATCTGTAAAATGAAATACCTCTCCCTTTCCAAGTTTAAAAATGAATGGCGTATTTCGGCTGAAACTTGAATCAACAAATGTTCCATCGAAATGTTCTAAGTGAAGCGTATAGTGCTGATGAATTGTATCACCTTTCTCTGCCTTACGACATTCCTTCTTATCAATTTTATGTGTCACCTTCAAATCTTTCAGTACTATCAACTTCAATATTTTCTTGATGAAAAATGTTATCTCAGTTAGTAGCGTGACTAATATATTATAATAAATTAATCCTTTCCACACACTTCAGAACACTATGGTATACAGCTCATGGAAGTAAAAAATTTTTTTTTTACAGGAACGCATCACTTCTTTTATGGTTGAAAATGAATAATGTGTATTTGGACTGAAACTGAAATTAAAAAATAAGAGCTAAAATTTTTATATATCAATTAGTAAGACAGAAGATATTAAAGGTAGTATAAACAGGTTGGGAATGTATTTCAAATTAAGTTCATTAAAAAAAAAACACTTATATATGTCTCAATTAATATGAGATTACATGGGATTATCAGAGCATTTATTTTGTAATATTTCAATTTTGGTAATAAATAAACGCATGCCTCAATTTTTAAACCATCTTCAGTGGTCCAGGAGTTACCGGGTACCGGTCTAAACAGATCTACAAGTTGTACTGTATAATACAGTGTTTGTCCACCTTTTATATTATCTCTGTCACGACCATTATCACCGAACCCTAAATGTGCTGGAATGATCACTTTCCTCTTTTCACCGATGCACATACCGGTCATAGCGCGATCCATGCCACTGATAACTTGATTTTTACCAAGTGTAAATGTGTATCTGAAAATTTCTGAATTCCAAACAATTTGATAAAAGACCAAACTTAGAAGCATAAAATACAGAAGCACATTCAGAGAGAAATAATTTATCTTATGCTTTGATTGACCAATGGATACTGGATTTAACCAATAGATAAAAAAGGGAAAACTCATCGTTTTTACTCTAGTCTAATTTACAAATAAACAGAGCTTAAGATCCTAAGATGGAATAGAGATTTCTTATCTTGAAATAGAGCCTAAGATGGAATAGAGATTTCTTGAAATTTGCGATTCAGATTTTTTGAATTAATCCTAATTTGCTCAAAGCTAATCAACCACTTATTGCAGGTGAAACTTTTTTCCTACTTCCAAATAGTTAAAATCTTGTGATCTAATTTTGATTTCATGAAAATAAAATTTTGTAAAAAAAGAGCATCCCCGGTGAATTAACACTTCCCAGATGACCTTACGGTTTCTTGCCGAAATTGGATCCTATTGTTTGTCCATCCTTGTCGGATAATTTGTAGAACTGTTCAACGATATCACCCGGCTGGCTTTTCATCTTACATTTTTCTGGCTTGATTGGTTTTATTATCTTAATCTGAAAATCATCATTATAAGATTTAATTGATCTAAAGTGATGCAATGCAGAAAATTGGAAGTGCAACAAACCTCCAATCCATCGTCTTCCTTCCAACTAAGTTTCTCTTCGTCCTCACCAAACACAGAAGCAAAATATATTATTGTTACGGCCACAATGAGAACCAATTTATTGTAATACATAATCAAAAATAATTAAAATTGAATTTCCGATGAAAGAGAACAGTGAGATTTTCTAGAATATTAATAAAATAGCATAAAAATTTCAAATTCATTCAAATTCAATATGATCAATAAATGCGATAAAATAATCATTTTAATTCAACTTTTACAGTAATATTATAGAACTGTTCAACGATTTTAACTTAAAAGAGAAAACGATAAGCGCCAATCATTTCCTCTAAAAAAAATGAAAAGCAAAATCTGAGCAATCAAAAATACAATCTACAAAATATTACTCTAAACTTCAATTATGTTAACTACCTGAGCGTTATGCTAAATGATTTCAAATTCAGCTTGTAATTCAAATGAATCAACCTAAAAGCAATTTTAATAAAATTTAAGAATGCTTTTAGTCATTCTGTTGTATTTTAAAATTTATAGAGATCACTTCTCGAGTTATATCATTCCTACCTTTGTTGAAAATAAAAAGTATGAGCCAGGTAAGTGACACCTTTGCTAGGAGTAAATGCGCCTTAAACATAACCTTCTGAAACTATTAATACAGGAAATAAAACTAAATAATAAAGGAATTTGCTGAAAAATAAGAAAAGTGAGCTGCTTCTTGTTAAGGAATTTGCGCAATTGATGATAATAATTATAGGGAAGGGAAGGGAATGGGATAGTGCGGGGAGGGAAGGGAAGGGAATGGGATAGTGCGGGGAGGGAAGGGAATGGGATAGTGCGGGAAGAGAAGGGAATGGGATAGTGCGGGAAGGGAAGGGAATGGGGTAATTCGGGAAGGGAAGGAAAGAGAAAAGAGGATGAAAATAAAGAGAGAAAGAAATGGGAGATATTTCGACTGGTAAGATTAGAAAGATGCGAAAAGAAATAATGATGATTCTATCAAATACTGTGCGCATTTTAGCATTTAAGGCGGACATTAACGAACTAAATCCATCCATTTTATACACGTACCGCCTTGTCTACCATTAAACTGAATGGGGCGATCGCAATTTTAAAAACTTCTCTAATAGATGAAAGAAGATAAAGAAAGAGAAGAAAGGAGGTTGTTGTAGTTTTTTAAGTAAAGACAGAGAGAGGGAGAGAGAGGGAGAGAAAGAAGATGGAAGACTACACGATAGGAAAGTTAGTGAAATTGGTATGAGCTGACTGACGGCTGTTATCGAGTGATACGCAAGGCGCCGTCGGTACTAGCAAACAAATGATGTACAAGTGTGATCAGTTTTGATATGTATATGTATATATATATATATCAGGATTTCTGTAATAATTGACTTCTTGATGATATGCGAAGTTTTTTGAAGAATTAGAATTCTAATATCTTTTGCTACAATTCTAGTAAAAAGATAATAAGCTTAGTTGGATTTTACCAATTAATTTATTCGATTTCAAAATTTTCTCTCATTATATAATTGAAGAAATGGCTTTCTTTAAATAATTATAATTTAAAAATATTTAAATTTTTCAAACTTATAGAAGCAACACTTAGCGATATTCAAATTTTTCGGAATATTTAAAGCTAAAGATTTCCTACTGCGAGATGACTTAAATTGCAAAATATTTGATTTCAGTTATCGGTGATTAAAAAAAATAAATAATCATAAACTCGTTTCAGCTCACTTCTGATAATTTATTTACCACAAAATTTTCAACTTTCTTCATTCTTTTTATTATTTTTCTTTTCCCTTTTATTTCACTGAATTTTTCATCAATATTATACAAAATATCAACAGAGAAATGGTTCAGTTTGTTTTATTGTTATTACTATTGCTGTCATTATTATTATTAATTATTGTTTCGTATTATTATTTATTATTATTATTAATTGTTATTATTAAAGTTTTTTGATCTATCATCAATAAGTGTTAAGATGATAAATTTTATAAGAATTAAGCGCAAACAATACGCTATTGATTAATTGATAGAAGAATAATCAAATACCAAACGAATTAATCAAATAAAAATCACAAAAATAACGTTAGCAAATATTTTTCACATTTTTTTCACGATAAAATGAGTGATAAAAACCTACCTGATAAGTTATTTCACGAAGTTATAATTAGGTAATACAAAATTCTTCTAATTGGCCGGTAATATTTAGCAACTATTAAAGTATAAATTTTTAAGTAACTTATCAGTTCAACATTTCTTTAATTGAACTCTAAATAATAGAAGAAAGTTAAGACAAAACAAACGGCATTATTCAACTGAAACCAATATGATACGCACAATTTTATTTTATAACTAATTTGTTTGCAACGGAAATGTGGCAAACACTGTTGTGTCGTGTATAAGTGTGTGTCCCTGTGTGTGCATACGTATGTGTGTGTATGTGTGTGTGTGTGTGTGTGTGTGTGCTTGTTTGTGATATACAGAATTAGAAGATGGATGCTCATTCCGTACACAAACCGGTATTTTGCTGAATTAGTGGGGTGCACAGAAGACAACTCCGGGCGACAACATTACGACTGCAAAAGATGGCTGGTTGCAATAGCTTCAATTTCAGTACATTTTTCTCACTTGTACAATCAGAGAATTTGTGCCATTTGAAAATTCTTTTTAAAGAAACCCTTTCCAAGCACTCAGTTTCGGAAAATTATCATAGAATTCCGGAAATTTGAAATGCTCAAATTGCAATCCTTGCAATTCCTTTTTTCCATTTTTCATTTTAAAATCTTTTTCGAAAAAAAATTTAACCCATAATATGAATTGTGAAAATGCTAGCGTAGAATTGTCAATATTGAAAATTTTTTTCATACAATGTTAAATTTTTTAATTAAGCAGAAAAAAATCGGTTGACAATGGAATAAAGTTCACTGATCATAAATTATCTGTTCCATTAATTAAAATAGTTTCATACTTCGAAATTATTGTATTTCTTTATGAAATAGAATGCTTCGGTTGGTAAGAAGAGAGAAACGAATTAGTATTGAAGAAGATAATTGAACTTTTTAATCTTTCCATCTTAGAAATTTTCAGATGTCACATTTTTGTCCTTTCTTCCTTCCTTCACTCTTCTCCATTCCGGAATCAGAATCATAATTATTTCCCGGAATCATAATTAACTTCCTCTTTGCTATATTGTATTCAACGAGTATTGATTAAATTTCATTTTTAATGCATTTTCAAACAAAAATGCAACATTCTCTTTCAAATGTATTAATGAACAGTTCCTATCAAATAATAAATTCAATTTGAATCACAACTTCACTACAAACATTCTCTATCACTTGCCATACTTCATCACTCTTAATCACTTGTTATCATGGCCTCTTTCAGATATCGTTCCTTTGTATTTTGTTATTCTGTCCTACAGCTCGTATCATATTTTATATTTCAAAATTGATATTCAGCATTAGCAGTTCGAGTTCAAATTTTCCTGTTAATGACTGAATTCATGTGGTTGAATTCATGTGGGCTTCCCTTTCTGGCAGTATATTTCCAGGAGTAACAACAGTACATGCTTATATGTTGGTATGTGGCGGTATATTGTGTAATTCTCAGTTTGGAACAAGATGCTCATTTCAAAAGAGAAACATCAATTGCAATTGATGAAAATGCAAAATTGGTAATATTTGGCATGAGACATGGCAATTGTTATCCGGGGAAGTTTTTACTCGAGAATTCACGAACTTGGGGTTTTGAAGGGGTCAATGAATTAACACAGGTCGGAATTATTCATTTCCTTTCAATTCTTTTTTATAATATCTATGTATTTCAGGTCATGTAAATTCAGCCAAAATATTCCTTTACACACTCAATTTAAGGGTTGATTTGGATAAAGTAACCTTAATTGAATTCAGTTATTGGTTTACTTGGAATGATTCACAGTTAAAACAGGCACAATATTAGTTTTTGAAATTTTTAGTAAGTTGAAGATCATTTTAACTCTTTGGTTAATCGGTATAACTTATTTCATTACCACAAATACACAAATTAAAAGTATTCTTTGAAAGAAGTTCACCATTTCGGCTTTCAAACAATTATCACTAATTTAAACTTTTATTATTGCAGTTCGGCAAACGTGAAGGATTTGGTTTTGGCAAAGAGCTTCGTGAATTTGTCGGTTCCTTGGTTGGTAACAATTATATTCGGAACGAAGTGGCATTCTATACCTCTAGCGCGAATCGTTGTCAAATGACGCTGCAGGTGCTATATTAAAAAAATGATAGAATCATTTCTAGAACCTATCTAGAAATCTCTGCATGCAATCACACCAAGGAACCAAATGATAACAGCTTATTTGTTGAATCATAAAATTAAACAAAACTTTCAATATTCGATTAACAGTCTGCGTTGTTTCATTGATAAGAGTTAGGAAGAATGACTGTGTAATTGTTCAAATTCGACATTTTAAATTTCATTATAGCTTTTTTAGGTTGTTATGGCAGGTTTCTATCCACCAGATACATTTGCCGAATGGAATCATGCCCTAGAATGGTCACCAGTACCATATACCATCGATGATTCTATGTTACGAACATATTCTCTTCCAAATTGTAGTATCATTGAGCAAGGTAATCAATTGTTGATAAGCTCTTATTTTAACTTCTGAAAATATAACTCTTCATTTCCTTGAAGAATATTCTCTCTGTCTTTCTTACATTTCACTTCAAAATGGATCAATCAAGTTACATACGTTAAAATAGAGAGATAGAATAGAGAATCTATAATAGAATCTATAAAAGAGAATCTATAACGGAATCTAGAATCTATAATCTATAATATGGTTTGTATGTAATCGTTTTTTAAAGCCCTTATGGGAAATATTGTGGATAGTATTATCTTATCATTAAATCATTCTACTCAAGAATGATTTAGATACCTTCCGGAATTACAGAACATAATACTGAGTGATTTTTACATAAACAATTATTTAGCTTGGGAACCAATTATTCATGATAATTTACCCGAATTAGTACAAATCACCGCTGAAAATGCGCAATTATTAGAACATATAGCGACACATACAGGATGGAATAAATCAATTCAAAGTGCTTCTAATCTGGCTGGTAATATTTTAGAAATGGTCAGTTTTTTTCATTAATTTACAAATGATGATATGGTATCATTGATGATAGCATTTGATATGGTAATGCTAATGCCATATTTTTTACCAATTGCGCTTTGCTAAGTTCGCATAATTTCTTCTTTTCGAGTGTGAAATAAGAGAAGAAAACAAGGAAGGATAGATTTTAAAGAGTTTCTTTTAACAATTGTCATTTTAATTTCAAAATTTCCAACGAAATTTAATATTTTATTTAAAATTTGAATCATTTGTAAGATTTCAAATTATCAAAGTATTTAAGAGTAATAGGAAGAATGTGATCTAAGTTAAGAAACTTCTTTGATTTTATATATTATTATTTACACTTCGATTATTTGAAATGAATTTTTCTGAGATTTTAGAATTTATACAATACAACCTTTCCGGATTGGATTGAACAGCCAACTTTGGAAAATTTTGACAAAAATTCACTGAAAGAAGCGATAATGATGTTCCTAGACAAACATTCACTTACTTGTGTCAACTATAAGCCATGTCGCGATATTATGGGCGGAATTTGGCTCAACCATGTTTTGACCATTCTCCGTAATACAGCTGATAGCCAGCAAACTAAAAAATTGATCGGTTATGTTTCGGTAAGCCTTCATGACTTATGAGTGTCGTCATATGCATGAAATGGAAACAATAATAAAATTCCTTAATTTATGCAAATTGCTTTTAGATGCTTGCTTAAATTTATTCCATTTTTGCATACTAAATTCATGAATTTACTAACTTTGATAAACAACCTACAATGATAATAAAAGGGTGAAAAAGAGTGAAGGGTGGTAGAAGCAGCCTTGTGTTGTGAATTTCAATCAAACTTAAATATATTTTTATTGATCAATGTAAAAATAGTAACAATTATTTATTGCAAAAAGTTGTTGCAATGGTGGCATAAATGATTGGTGAGAGATCATTAGATGGTCTCACGGAGGAGGTCGAATCTTTATTGCTCAATTCATTCAATCTTTGATACGTTAATTGTAACGTGTAATTAGGCGCTATCATAGAGAACAATTAGGCCCTTTCTGTTGGCTGATTGAAAATATTGCAATATTTGATGTGTCTCATCGATTTGCATGCTGAACATACTTCTCAGATGTAACCCTTTTGCTCGAATTCAAAAAGCTGTAAGTATGCAAGATTTAGGATAACATAACGGTAAGTAGTTTCCCAGTTCGAATGTCATCACAGTTTACTTTCACTGTTTATGATCTATTTTGAATTTAGATATGAAAACTTTTCAAAATTTTGTGTTAAAAGTTACTATATCCAAATTAAACATAGAATAAGCAAATAGTGAAGCGCATTAAAATGATATGTAATTGAACATATCCATAATCAAAGATAAATTTTAATAACAACAAATTATCACGCGAAAATAGTACAGTATTTTTGCACTAACATAAATATATCCGCCACAAAGCTCGAGGAATAGTTGTAGTATCCATAATATGATATTTGGCTGAACAAGAAACTAAGAAATAGTTCATCGATGAGATTCTAAGATGACTTTTCTATCCATTAATAAATTGAGGATGGTGATAAAGCGATTTGGAGTGAATTTCTTTTTTTCTGGGTGACCCGGACGTTGATACACGAAGTTATCGTTTTTCAAAGGTTTAGATACCATAACATCAGAAAAGAAAATTCGGGTTAATTGGTACAGTATGCAGGAGTAGTAATAAGGACGACTAAAAACAAAAATTGTAAAGAAATTAAGAGATGAAAAGACTAGCGAAATTTTCTTGACGAAGAATAATAAGAAAATTAAGGTAAAATGGAAAAGATCAAACATATTCATAGCAATAATTACGAATACATTAAGTGTTTTTCAATTTACACAAACACCATTTTTATTGAATTTATTTTTAAAAATATTAAATCAAAATATGCTTGTAGCATTTGGAAATGATACTATCAGTGATGAAGATATTAAGAATAAATCAAACCTTTCTGGACACGACAGCTGGATTTTTAGTGGAATATCGCGATAAACCGCATAAATCCATTAGATTGCTATTTCATGAAGCATTAGCCATCGATAGACATATCATTCGACAGGTAACGATAATAAAAATTGTTAATAATAACTAATAATATTAATAATTAACAATAACTAATAATAATTGATAACAATAATTAATAATAATCGATAATAATTAATAGTAATTAATAATTAATAATGGTGAACAATACTTAATATTTAATAGTAATTAATAATAATTAAGAATGATAATAATTAATGATAGTAATAATAATTAGATGCTAAGATTAGTATTATATGTAATATAAATCCATTTATCACCAGCCTAGTTATTATTAGGATAGAGTAGAAACTATCAGTAATTGTTTTCTAGTGATTTAGATGAAAAAGAATCTCTTTTTTTTGTGCTAATAATTTCATATTTTCTTTCTCTATGCTAATTTTACTCAAGTTAAATATTCACCGAATGATAATACTTAAGTATACGAGTGATAATACTTAAGTTCTCTTTTCTCCGCTCTTCAACGAGGTGAAGTTTCATTGAGAAAATTGTAAAATTTATGATTTAGGTCTTTTTTGGTTTATATGTTTGACGTATTTAAAAATCTCTAAAATTTAATTTGAATTTTCAATCAGGCTGAATACGTTGAAGAATTGGAAGAATTGAGTGATTCAAATCATTGGATACCATTCGAGTCATTCTATGAGTTAGTTAAAGATAAAGCAATTACGAATTGGGAAGAAGCTTGTGGTCGAAAAATATCACAATGTGTAGTATCAGGAAGTGATATAATATCATCACAGAGGATTATCACCGTTGATAATGATAATAGTATTTTGATTAACCATCAAACTTCCACAACTCCATCTGTTATTTTTGCTTCTTTATGCAATATTGCGATACATTTATTAGTTACTTCATCGTTTATTTCATGAAAGGCCTATGAATTAACCAGCGTAAAAGCATTCATAGATTTGTTTACACAAATAAAATAAATGGTAGCAGCATGATAGCATAAATATCTCGCTGAATTACTTTGTGGTCACTTAATGATATTGAAAGAAAAGAATTGCATTAATTTCTTTCAAAGCATCTTATTCTATTTTGCAGATATAATTTGAGCTTTTTACCTTTTTTCTGGCTTCAATTTTATTTGAGATGTCATAATAAATCTTTAAATAATGCTCAATTTTCATTTAACTACTAGTAATTAGCTAAACCTACCTTATTTTCAATTTATTTATATTAATTTTTAACTTCACCGAAAAAGTTAATTGACACTTATTTGAACTTCATTATCCTTACTGTAAGCAATTGAAGAGGAACAATTTGAAATATAGTTCATGATGAAGTTCCATATGATCTTGAGGATTGGATATTTGTTTGGAGAACAATGATGAGATAGGAGAAGGTATTTTGTAGGTTGCGCCAGTAGCCCACTGACCTGGATAACCTTCCCTTTTCCAATCATTACTGATGACCGAATGTCGGTGATTTGTGCGCATGAATTTGGCATACCAGGTGACAATGGGGCATAGGGGTCGCGACATCTTTTGCAACCTTTTGACATTAAATAATATCCCCGTGTTAAATCAGGGGGAATTTATTAACACAAGAGAAAGTATCTTCTCCATCCTTCCTTTCCATTCCCCTTTCCCATCCTTTCTCTCTTTTTAGCAAGATTCCAAATTTCTATTTAATTTTTAAAATTTTAACTCGAAATCTTGTACCGTGATACGAACATTCAAAAATTTTGATATCTTTTTAAAACAACATTATATTTTCATAGTAATTCTGGTTGCTAAATAAACAATTGAATGCTTAAATTTTAGCCATTGTTCATATCGCCACCGATAATTAGGTTCATTAATTAAATTTTCAAACTTATTCTTCATTAATTTTCATTTGAATCTTTTAGAATTAAAATTTATAATAAAATATGAAATGCTGTATGCGTGTATATTTTTTTTGAAGTCAATAGCAGAATAATTTGGGAACATTAAGATTGCATTAGCAAAGGAAGCATTCAGGTAAAAAAGTAAGGTGTGAATTTAATTCTAACAGTGGTACCATTTATAAGACAACACTTTTTGGAATTTGTAAACACTGCTATCCTATGAAAAATAAAACGCGCTATTTTCACTTGAGAAATACCAAAAACTGAATTAGTAGTATTCATAAATTGATGATTTATTCCAGAATCATCAGAATAAATTATTTTTAAAGAAATACTAATTTTTTACTGCGAAGATTAGTCGAAAATCGTAAATGAAATATCCGATTTCATACGTCAACCGTACTGTCTACAATATGAATTTACCAACAATGGCAAATCATCGAATGGTCACTGTTTTCACTTGTCTTTTTTAAATGGAAATCAAAATGAAAGCAAACATAGATACAATTTGCGTAATATCAATGATTACTGGAAGGAATGCTAAAATAAAGCTATTTCACTTATAATATCTATTACAATACTAATTAATATTCCGAGTTAATTGGGCAGCGGAGGAGGTTTACTTAAACTAAAATGATTAGGCAAAGTTCAGTCTTGATTCCGTAATGCCTGGATAGAAGTGACCAATGTAATAGACAATACATTTATTATTTGGAATGTACGACTTGAAAGCTCCGTGTAATTCTTCTAACTTAATTCAAGTTATTAGATTTTAAATGATTGGAGTGTATTATGATATCTTTTACTTACTAATTATTTAACATATTTATCAGGTGTATAGCATTTGATTCCTGCATTGTCAAGATCGACTAGTCATCTGTTGGCATATGTCATTTCTTATTTCCAATTTTAATTTTTACCTAAATGTACCCGCCACATTCGCAATGGTGGTAATGGCAGTGATGCCGATGTCGAACAGCAATCAGGATTAGTACTTTCGTGGAAATGAGGTTACATGGAGGTCGGTCAGCATCACTTCTATGAATGGTGGATGGATGATGCATCCGTCACGTCTGTCCAACCTTCTGGATAACGATCATCGCCACTTCTCGGAATCGTCCTTCCTGCTCCCTTTCCGTGTATTGCTTTCTCCTCATGGTTTTCTACTCTTTTCAACTATACTATTTCCACTGCTTCTTCATTAACTCACTCATTGCTTATTAATTTTCATGGTTTTCCAGGAAAATGTCTTGTCAAAATGTTTATTCCTTCCTCTCTCTTCGTTTCTCATATATTCGTTGTTGCATTTTTGTGATAGCGGAAAATATACTAATATTGAATTAATTTAAACTTGCACAATTACGTAGTAATTGCTTAAAATTGTTTAAAATTTGTCATTTGCTTAATTCAATTTTTTGTTTTAAACAAGAATTTTTTTAATTAGCACTTTATGAATTTGAATAAAATTATAAGTTTCAGGAAAAGTAAAGCTCCAAAATTTGGATTCATAATTTTTAAGTAAAAGAAATGTTCATTACTCCTTGAAATAATAATTTCCTTAAGTAAGTTTAGCCGGGAAAATTATTTTCTTCTGCGGGTTTATCTAAATTTCTTTACTCTCCTAAATGGGAAATTCACTAATTTTATTTACAAAAATTTAGCTTTCATCGAGTGGTACTTTGTGTTTGGCTCTTTTCTATGCTACCATTTTCATTCTTTGAAGAGGGATTTGAAAAAAGGATATGAATATTGAATCCAATTCAACATTTTAACATTTTACGACTTAACATTTATCATTTTTTTATAACTTTGGTTAATATCCTTAAAATTAATAATGATCGAAATGAGCTTACTTTTTTTTTATTTTTAATATCTTTTTATACAAATTTTGCGCTTATTCCAAAAATTTTACTTTGCTTCAATTGAAACAATTAATTTTGATTGTGATAATTTGTTGCTTCCACTTGAAAAGATTATTATCATTTCAGTTGCAAAAATAAAATCTGCAGCAAAAGAAAGCACGGGGTTAAGGATTTGCATTTCATATAACTCCAAAAAGGGCTCTCCTCTTTCCAGTTATGGATAAGGTGGATGAATAAATAGGTCGTTCACGGTGCCTTCCACAGGGGCACGACACTATCTGACCCGACCCACTTTCGAGCATTACATTATCGCCCTACATCTTCAGGGACACAACAATTGCAGGGTATCTATTTTTCGAAATGGGTTGCGCATCAAATTTTGCAAACCCTCTTCAATAAGGGTTTATATGCATATTTTCGAAGACATTCATTTGTTGCCAGGTAAAGGATGGCCGCTGGTCAGCAGATTTGGGAGGAGTACTAGGTCGATGGGACTGGTCGAGGTCGACCAGTGTTATCTTTTGCCGATTATATAATCAAATAAATATATGTGGACGACCTCAATTTTTTCACACATGCAATGTGAATTTTTATTCACATTTTCAGAGGCAACATTTCATCCATTATCTTCATTTTGTCATCAACCGAATAAGTCCTGAATGAGTCGATGATTCGATCTGATCTAATTACTTCATCGTTTTTACTTAAGAGTCGAATAGTTTCTTGAATTTTTATCCAAAGTAAAGCCTTTCAAACCGTATTGTCTTCTTGTAAACAATAAGTGATCAGACTTCCTCCTTTCCACCTAATTTCTTTCAGATTTAGCATCTGGGAAAGTGGGAGTAGAAATGCGCCGCACACTGCGGCGGAAATATTCATATATTCTTTCTACCAATAGCGCATTTTTTAATTAGGGAGAGCACCACAGTGTTTCACAACACAAAATTTATTAAAGAATTCGAAAAACATAGTAGGAACGAGATGGAAATAGAAAGAAGGGTCTCGGGATATTTTGGTCACCCAATTTCCACGATTGTAACGTGGCTCTCCTTCACTCCTTCCTTAAATCGATGTTACGCATCCTATTTTGTATATCCCTTCTGACCTCTTCCCTTCCCTTATCCTAATATCCCGCCTCCCATCTTTTGAGCCTAATTACGCCACATCACGATCGGCCTACATATCTTCCTTGTCACTGTCCTCGGAAAGTCCAGCTAGCCATGATCGACCCTTCTTGATGATGGCGACAACAATGGACAACTCCACCTGTCTCATCATGATACCGCTCCAGATGCCTACTTCTCCACCCTTTTCTCATCGTGAATGCGACCGCCTACAGATTGTGTGAGACCACAAAATTATATGCCTACCATCACTGACAAAATTTCTTTTTTTCCTTAGAAAATTCATCCAGAGCGTTCATCTTTGCAAATATGACACCGAAAACCTCCTTTGAATGTTTAAACGTACACCTATTCACCTTTCTATCACTGTTCTAAAAGTATGCTTCCAATCCCATTACTTATCAATTTTGTTAAAATTCAGCAATTTCTGACTTCATCGGATTTCAAATTTTTGTACAATTTTCCTTATCCCACAAACTTATTTTTATTCCAAGCAATACAATCAATTGATACATATCATTATTGTACTTAAATCAAGAAAACTGATGCTTTCAAGTTAACTAAATTCTAATTCTGGATTGAAAATCTCCGATTACATTGGGATACTGTTGTTACCATTTTTCACCAATAATTTCCCCATAAAATTTAAAATTCCAACAGAAGATTTGAATGTTAAAATGGCGCTCAATATTTTTCTTCTTTTTGCTCTCGAATCAAACAATATCATATGTTTCCACTAGTCCTATCATAGTAAATTATTGATAACAACAAAACCTTATTTGTGACTGATATTGAATTGATGACTAAACAAATCAATGATTCTGATCAATTAATCAGAATCTTTCTCAAAAAATTTCTCAGAAGTAAATTTCCAATCTCTTAGTAAAAAAAAAATCAACTATGAAAATTCTTAATAGCCTGTAGTGATAAGAAAAGTTCCTCTAAATATAAGCCCTTTTGAATTTAGCTTACCTCATCTTTCTGCATTCCTTTATTCTCTTTTTTTCCATTCGTCTTTATTATCAATAATAAAAACAACATTCTTATAAATCTTTTTGTTTACATATCTGTCTTATCATATCATACGTTATAGTTATTAAACTTAACTGTAAAATTAGGTTTATAAGATGACAGACTAACTTGAGCTGCGTGATGATGCACTATTCCTTTGATTACAAATATCACCAAAATTTTGATAAATAATATATCAAAATTTTGATATCCTGGATATTCGAACATTGTATTTTTCAATGAAAATCCGGCAGCACAATATTTCCGGCAAATGATCCAGGTGGCAAAGCAAGGAATATTTTTTGGTTTGACGAGTCCATTGTTAGAGAGAAAACTGATCAAAATACTGATCTTTTCATGTTAAACGTGTCATTTTAATATCCATTTCATTTTGCTTTCAACTTGAAAAAAGAAGAAACTAAGTTTCAATGAAAAATCATTGACGCTAATGTTCCATTCTGATTTATTCAAATTATAGGCCAAGGGTAAGTGGTCAGGTGTTGAGGAGAGAAGAAGTAAGGATATACCTGTTGATGAAGTCATGAGTACGGAGCCGACATCAGCATTCCGATCTCCAGTCATCACCTCGTCCACATCCTCCAGAGTAACCCATCCCATCATTGTACATCCTCAACCTATCAAGTAAGTATCTCTGATTATCTGCCATCTTTGATAATGATTATTCAAAGAGTTTCAACAATATAAATGTGCTACTATTCTTTTGAATAGTGCCACACTTCGGAAAATGTGAAAAATGTAATGATTATTCAAAAATTTCTTCATACTTTTGATTTTGCCTGATTATTTCTGTATTTTTTTCTTTTTATTATGTGATTGCATTATTTGATGAATATTTCAGACCATATTCGCATACAACAACTACCGATCCGTTTACTTTGTATAGTTACTACTTAACACAAATGGGTCATGATTTTGATCTACATCAATTAGCGCAGATCACTCGACCACCCATTCTTTCCAGCTCACATTTGCTGTCAAATACAGCTTTAATCAATAATTCGGTTACTTCTACTGCTACAACAAATCGGAGCAGTTGGGATTCAGAAATGAGTAAAAAGATTCGGAAAGAGCAGTGCAGGTTTGTTACATTTGGCGTAATTTTTGTTCTTTTTCTAAATTCTGAAAAATTATTGGAAGTTAATATGAAAGCATTATCATCTCCATTTTTCTTTCAGTTTTATTTGAAAAGTTAATTTTTAACATTCTTACTAAATGAGTAATTTGGTAAATCTGTTTTTGGCGTATCATTACTTTCATTATTTTCCAAAGTTTCGATTCATTGAAATACGAAAAATGAAGAAGGCGTTGTTAGCTAATGACCAAATCTATTGAACTTTTTATTTGACCATAACTGGTGACTAAGCTAACATTTTATTTTTACTCTATACTTTAACCTATTTAATAGGTCAATTTTCAACTGATAACTTTTGGCATCGTTTTTCTATGCATGTATTTAAAAGATTATCACCTGTCGTGAAAATTTTGTAATAAATATTATGAATAATAGCTGAGCTAGTTTTAAAAAAGAATTAGATAATTTATTCTCGAGGAAGAAATGAGGAAGATGACCTTGGCAAAGCCAGATTGCCTTATATGTCCTTGTACTGTCGCGACAGTGCCTTGGGTTTCTAGATCACCCAACTCAATCTGTTTTAAAATGCGCCGAAAACTTGTTTTGAAAGGGCAGCAAGGACAAAAGCACTGAAAGAGAAAAGTATACTGGAAATATTAAGCACCATCTACTGTTGACCTGGAACAATATTTTGTAATTCCTTATTTCTGAATATTATCTGATAGTAAAAATTGTTTTTATCACTTTCAAAATTTCAATTTTGACAATTTAACCAAAGTGTTCGACACTTCATTTTGATGTTTGTCTACTAAAAGTACAATGGAATTTTTAAATTTTGAACTGTAGGAGCGTTTTGAAATGAATGAATCAATTCTAATATTCTTCAAATATTATATTTTAAGAAATATTTTAAGTAAAATGAAATTGTGATAGATACATCTTAGGTAGCTAATATAATTTTCATTTATAGATATATTCTGGTAAATATCGGTAATCACGATAATGCCTGGGTTATATTTTCAATTTATAACTTACGTTTGAAATTATTATTAACAGATCAACTATTTTGCATGCATCACCGAATCACATGTTAATAATTGTAAAAAATGAAATTTGAAAAAAATTTTAAGCCCCGATTCACCCCAAAGTGTGGAAACGTCATGCTCAAGAACATCGCAACCTAGCACGTCGCAAAAGGACCGTATAACAACAACAACAACAACTGGATCTAATCGAAGTTCCGATAAATTCTCCTGGTTAAGCCACTATAGCGTGGAACCAAATATCGCCGTTGTGAGCTCCAATATGAGCAGCCCATCGTTAACATCAGGTTTACAATTTATTAAATCAAATTTCTACCCCTATCGTAGTATATATGATAACTAGCCTCACTTTGGTTATATTAAAAAACATGAAATATTATCGGTAATTTCGAACTTTCATATCCTTTCTGTGATATTTTGTTTGAAGCCAATTTAATTCACGATACTATAAGATAAAATATTCCTTATCGACACTCCTAAATATATTATATTATTAAGCTCAATTCCTTATCATATTATATCACTTTTTGAATAAAATTATTGAAAGAATATTAAAATTTTTGATTCAATTTTGTTTAAAAATTTTGCATGTATGAATTTTAGACGGTACAAAAAGCAATGATAAGTCAAGATTAATTGATAAGTTGCAATTTGAATTTCATTCAATATTTTGCTTCATAAAACTAATATTTAACTCTATATTTTTGATATGGAATAACTTTTTAGCCCAGTCAAATGGCTCCGAAACGACGTACACGTGGAATGGTCGGGCAGATGGACATCGTTCAGGAGAGTTCACTGCGACGCTTATGACCGATTACTTAGACGATGATCCATTGCTGTGCGCTATTTGTGCTGACAAATCATCAGGACTACATTACGGAATTTATACATGTGAAGGGTAAGCATGTTGTATCTTTTAGACGCTATGATTGAATACACAACAGTAAGATTTTCGAGAAATGTGAGATTCAAAGGAAATAATAATAAATTAATTAATTAATGCAAATTATGGTATATGTTAATAAAAGGAAGATTTTGCTTAAAAATTAGAATATTAAATTTATCGCATATGTAATTGTAAATTATAAATTTGAAGAATTTATTGTTTAAATTTCGAATAAACGTCAACGAATAATTTTGTATTGCTAAATTTAGTGTTTCCAACCTAATCATTTCGATATAAAAATATTAAATTTTGAAATTATAAGACTTAAAAATATGAGTTTTTGAATAAATAAGTTATAAGTAGAGAAAAATATGAAAAAATTTATTCGTTGTGATGGATCTTATCATATAAATAAATTAATTACATACTTCTCACAAATAAGAATTTTTTATGAATTCAGAAGAAAATATCGATAAAGTTCCTAATATATACTTCTGGCTTATATAAACAAATTTAATCATTAAGATTGCTAGAAATTGATTTGTTTAAATAAATTTATTTTGTAATAGTGACAGATGTCAGAAATAAATCTGCCAGATGTTGTTACTTGGTCATTGTGTTCTGTAGTCATTCTACAGTCAAATTAATGTCCATTTCTATTTCATTTACTAGGAAAAAGATTTATAAATGAGAGTCAGTAATTGTTGATAGTATAATAATTCAAGGTATGTTTGTTTCATAGAATGTTAACTTACAGGCGTAGCAATAAGTAGAAATCTTAATTTTGATATCGAGCTTATTTGCTTATAAAGAAAAGCATAGATTATGAATTAATATGGAATGGATTGTTAAATTTTCTGTAATGAATGAATCTTCCTATCTTCGCATTGTTCATCTTTTTTCCACCTTTTTTACGAAGCCATCATTTTACAAACAAATTGTTTTTGCGTCCACCTTTTTTTATACGTTGAAAGATTGAAAAGTTGATGAAACGGCAGTTCATGGTGTAATAAAATCAGGCGTTTGTTCAATCTTTCAACGTGCAATTTGAATTGAGGTCAGTAAATATAGGCATATATTGCTGAATTTCATTTTACTGTCAACAATGGCTGTCATCATTTATTAATACTATTACGCAAGAATTCATTTTGCTTGTCAACATTTTTCATTCTTTATTCAAAAAAGAAATGCATATTTGCAATTAAATAAAATTTTTTAAATCCAAAGAAGGAATTAATTTTTATTTTAATACTTTCCATTACTAAAATTTGCAACTATCACTTATATTTCATTACAGCATAATCTAAACCTTTTTATTTATCTAACAAAATTTTGCAAAATTTTCATTTTCTTACCTTACATAATATTGTTTTCAAGTATTTTATCATATCATCAAATAAATAAATCCAATAATTATATATGTAAGGATATAAAAAATGTTACCTTTATTTAACATATATTTATTTGTTTAATTAAGTTAATTTTCTGTAGTACGCAGTTTGCATACGAATATTTCATTAGTTGTTATATGTGTAATGGATGTAAAAAATAACATTTCATGAAAGGCTTTTCAAAAATTGCAAAATAAATTGAAAGCTTGAAATTTGATAACTTCGAAACTCTTTTTTAAAAAATTGGTAAAATGTAATTAATACTTAATTCACAAATTTTTACCGTACTTTGGTATACCTTCATCAAAATATCTTTCATCAAAATATCTTGAATATCATATCTTGAGAAGCCTAATTGTGAAATATTCCTAAAAAAGGACTTCTAAACGAATTTAACACTTTGCTTCAGCAGTTTACAAAAATGAATAATATTTAGAGCCATTGATCTATTGGTCAGGATAGTTTCTGTTACTTACATTCATTGTGCAATTTCCATCCATTTTCTCCTTCATTTGATAATCATTGTTTTGCCATCGATCATTCCTAAAATTCCCACACAAATAGTCAAAAGTCAAAGACACGATGAAAAAGAAATTTTTTTAGCGGTAAAAAAAATTTCCGACAATTGTTAAGTTTATATTTCAATTTTTTGCAAATATAAATTCGAGTTTTCCTCACAATGTTTATCAAAGGTTGAGAAATGAGGAAAGAAATGAAATATATGGAACGATGTAAAGCGTTGAAATGGAAATAAATTAATGAATGCATTCAAAAGTAAAATTTCAAGACGATGAAGTGATTGTTTGTATGTTTTTACCATATTTCATCTGTGAAATACACGCTATTTAGACTAACACTCACTTTAAGTTATAAAATAGATATATAAACTACCTAAAATGCATTTGGTGCTGACCCATTTCATTGGAATCATTTCCTCTTTCTAAGATGCCCTATAAAACCGGTCATTACGGCACCTCACTCCTTACCATTGCTTATTTTTGTGCAGGTACCCACCACTCAAAGCATTTTCATCTCATCTACATTCACCTTTTTTTAATAATACCTTGTGAACTTTCCCAAAAATCTATAGTTATCGCATGAAAGGATTTTATAGAAAATTGTTTAGAAACAATTAGAAAACTGAATTATTACTTTGGAATGATTATTTTACCTGCTCAACAGATTCAATTGTTTACTTCAGAATGATTGTTTGAATTATATGTTCCAGGTTTTATCACTTCCTTTAGATTTTTGAATTACTTGCTTGAAAATGACGAAGGACAAATTAATATATGTTTATTTTCAATATATTCGCTTAGATATTTTCTGAAAATGTTTTCACTAATAAATTTTCTTTCCCTTATTTGCATCATAGCAAATGGAACAAAATTGCAGCGAAAATTCGATTTTAACGCTACGTTTTATAAGTGTTTAGCAGATGAAATAAGTTTAACTTTCAGGTGTAAGGGTTTCTTCAAGAGAACGGTACAGAACAAACGTGTTTATACATGTGTTAGTGGTACCGGTAGCTGTCCAATGACCAAGGAACAAAGGAATCGATGTCAATTTTGTCGATTTCAAAAATGTTTACAACAGGGTATGGTCCTTGAAGGTTAGAATTTCCTATATTTCATTACTTATTCAAATAATACATTTGCTAGATAATTGTGAGTAATAAATATATTTTGCGTTTTCATTTTCATATTGCTTATCAAAGTGATTAAAAGAAAAACAAAGACATCGCTTTTTGAGATATCGCAAAAAATTAATTTTATTGAAGCGGTACGGGAAGATCGAATGCCAGGTGGTCGAAACGGAAGCGCTATTTACAATCTTTATAAATTAAAATACAAGAAGACAAGGCGTTTACAAGCGCTATGTGAAAGTATCTTACGAGAAAGCGCTCCACGTTGCGGTACACCATTAGGTGCTTCCGATATTACTTCAAAAGGCATACATCCAGAACAACGAACAATGGGAAGTACACCGTTGAATACATCAGCGCCTGATGTACAACCCAGCAGCGAACCTCTCAATTTATCGGCCAAAGAAGGTGTTAACAGAAGTGAAGAAATACCGCCAACAAGTGGTTGTAGCAGTAGGATAGTCTTCAGCAGATCTCCCCTTCCTACTCATAACAAGAATCTCATACAGGTAGCAATTTTTATATTTCAATCCAAACACTATCTTATTTCGAGTGTTGTATTTATTTCAAATTGAAATGGAATGCTAATTACAGAGGCGATAATGACTGTCTTTGACTTTTATTGTTTGTTTTATTTTACAGGTATAACCGAGGTATTTGCTCAAACTATAAAATAAATTCAAAAGGAATATCTCTGATTTGATGAACTATTATTATCATTGTAATTTATTCCTATTTAATTCCATGCAATGATCAAAAAATAGTTAATCACTTATTTAAACTGCAAGATTTATTCGATAATGCATTTTAATTAAATCAATCCTTCCTACTATGTTAAATCTAGTGTGGACTAAAGAAATTATAATTCATCACACTGATTTAAAAAAAAGTAGATTTTACGATTTAATCTCTTCATCTTATCCCTTCTTTGAATAAGTTATTCCATCTGATCGAAGTTTATAATTAAACATATTTTTATGATAACTACTGATAATCAAATATATTATGTTATCATTGTTAAAATGGTGTCACTTTCTAAAAACAATTCACTGCCCACCGATTATTTATTTAAATTTTATTTCATAAACGATTGCATAAGTAACAATAATTCTTTAAATATTTTTGGGACTAATTTTTGCATTTTAATTTCATTTTCACAATGACTATTTTAATCGAAGTAAATATTAAATTCTCTTTAAAGATGCCTTATAAGTTATTAATAGCTAATAATTAAACCTTTGCAACGATACAACATATAAAAATCTTTAGATATTCTTTAATATTTCTATATTACTAACTTATTCGGTTAATAAAAAATTAAAAAATTTCTTGTAAATCGTTGAAATCAGTTGGTAACAAAAAAATCAATAATAAAGCCGCCTTTCTTGCTTTCTAATAACAAAGTCTAATATGTATGAAAATCATTTATCTGACACTGATCGAATTTGCAAAAAGTTGAAATGCTATTGTCTTCTATCTGATTAATATTTAATCAACCATTCTATCCTAAGTTTAATTATTATTTCAAACCTTCTGTTGTGAAATTCTTAATTTTTTATTAGCATATGAAAAGATATTTTAATATGGAAAGATACACTGACTTAATTGTAATATCTAATTTTACAAGGCAATATGCATAAAAGAGAAGAAATGAATTGATAAAGAACGTAATCATAGTTGAAAGCCAATGCTTTTATGATAAGACAGATATTCTAATTTTACATTTATCAATGTTATTTCTTTAGCTGATCACAATATTCTAAATTCAATCATCACTTGATTGGCTCTTGAATTTTTAAATGCTGTAATCTCTTTCATTCAATATCCAAATGAGAAATTGCTTTTAATAATTCATTAATCATTCCTATAATCATATCAAACATTTTTTTGATTATGTAAGAATACGAGCGAATGAAATTAACAATCCATTTGATGGTTGACATAACTTCTTCTCAAGTGAAGTAATTAGTTCAATTATTCTACCAAAGTACTTATCAGTTATGTGAGTATTTTCTGCTATGTTTGGATCCGTTTGCTCATTGTGAATTTAAAAATAAAGAGAAAAAAAAGGAAAATTCCATTTTTTGAAAGTAATTACTGGCACTTTTTATTGCTTTTAATTTGAATTTAAAATATATTCGCACATATGTTTGTAAATGTGATCAATTCTTTTTCTTCGGATATTCAAAAAAAGTGATTTTTCTTTTCCAGGAATTGATTGAAATAGATCATATCGAAAAATTAATCAATCTAAAAGGTTTGCGAATAGCACACCAATTTGGATCACATAGTAACGATCCGACAATTCCCGCCTGTCAGAGGTTATCAAGGATCGGTGATGAAATCGTTGAACAATTGGTGGAATGGACGAAGATGCTACCGTTCTATCACGAATTACCTGTAGAAGTACACACTCATTTGCTGACCCAACGATGGGCTGAACTGGTCAGCAATTCAAATCATTTCATTTACCAAATATATGTTTACCATTATTTTGCTTTATTTTGTTCAAATAATATCCTGAATTCGGATCACATATTTCAGGTATTGTTGTCAGCTTGCTTTTATGCTGCTTCAACACGATCTTCCAGTCAAGATAGTTTACCAGTCAGTTCAACAACTACTGATGATAACGAAGAAGTATCTTTCATTGATTCATCTGTCAATTTACAATTGCTACAGAAACGATTATGTGCTGTCATGGGAAAGCATATACCACTCGAGCATGTCAACAAGTTTGTTTATATTTACGATATTAAAAAATAAAAATTATGATTAGCAAAATTTTATTTTGAGCTCAGCGTTATTGCTGCAAAGGGTATGATCCAAGCTAGGCTGATAAGAATGGTACGAAATTTATTCCCCAGCACTGATTTAACATTTTGTCATATCCGAAACATAAATAATAGCTGTCAATATCTGAGTAATTGTTGCCATTGTAATTATTATTTTTGGCGATTATTATCTTTACGGTACGTTTCAGAGAGGCTTCACCTTTAGTCGAGAAGTTCACAACGTTATTGCATTCATTCAGTCGCTTAAAAATTACCTTAGAAGCGTATGTTTGTCTGAAAGCTATCACTCTACTACATTATACACCTTACACTTGTGGTTTGTGCATTTAAATACTTTCATTAAAAACGAAAGGAAGAAAGAATGAATCTTCACGTGTTTCTTTGTATGTATTCTATGAAAGAATTTTTATTACTTTTAAATTTCTATGGAACTGAAAAATTGTCATAGTGGAAATAATGCGAGATAAGATTTATCTTTTAAGAAATCTGATTTCTTAACTACATCACTATTAAATCACTGAAAATTTACTCTAATGATAGCAATGATAGCAATAGAAATAACTTTCGATCTGAATCAAACTGTTTTCATCTTTCGAGATTAAACTATTTCTTTATTTCCTCGATATATATATATATATATATATATATTAGTTTTTGCTTATTATTTTAATTCTAAAAATCAATATTACAATTATAAAGAAGAGATAATCGTTTTTTGTAAAATGTCCGATCTGAATTAATATCATGAAAATAAAAGCATAACTGAGCGTTATTCTCAGCTTTATTCAAAATTATTTTGATAATTTTTTTTAATTTTTCGTTATTTAGATGAAACAGCTATTGATGTGAAAGAATCGATGGTGCGGAGTGTTTATGTCCGGAAAGTATCAATAATACAGGATCAGTTTGTGAAAGCATTACAAATACATCTCAGCCAGCATGAAAATGGCGCACGGCTAACAGACATTTTAACATGGTTTATTTTTATTTATATTTCTATTTTATATCATTATAACACTCAAAATAATACGATCAGTTATGGTTAGTCACTTCATTACAATTCCAATTTATTAAAAACTTTGAAAGAATACAATTTTGATTGATTTTTAAATTATAATATATAGTAATACTTCTGCTACACAAAATCTGCTTCATTCATCTATGAATAGGATTTCAAAGTACTACCAATGACCATGATATTAACTGATAATTATAACGCTTAATGGTCATTACAGGTTACCTATGCTACATTCTGCATCATCGGTACTGCTGCACAGCAAAATGTTCTACGTCCCTTTCTTGATTTGCAAAAATCCACAGCGAATCAATGGTGGTAATCGTGGTGCAGAAATCCGAACAGTATTATCACCGTTATCATATCCTCCTTCCGCCACTGTTACTGATTATGAAGAGGAATTGAATGCGACAAGTAGCTGTTAATTATCTTTTTTTTCAACATATCAAACAAAAATCAGCGTAGAAATTATGCACAATGCGGAGAAAATAATCTCTCATAGTCGGAAAGTTACGGAAAATCGAGAAGGTCTCAATGTTTTCCGCGGTGCTGATCAGATTTGTGATTATCAATTGAATTATTTAATTACCGCATTCTGAATTGATGCAAAAAAGTTTTTTTTTTTGCTTTAATAATTAATTAATTATTGGTATAGTCTCAGAAAGTCGCTCGCTATCGTTTCTAAAATTTGTTTCACTCAGTTGTATGAAGTGCAATAATAATGCCTCATATTTGTTCATATTATCATCTTTATTTAGCTGTTCTTATCAGTGATCAAAAAGTCTTTCATAAACGACCTAAGCCCAAATCCATCCCTTATCAGACCAAAAAAAATCGTCTCTCTCTCTTTCCAATTTTCTTGTATGCTATTTAAATTACCACTTATCTATAAAGAAATATGAAGAGCTATAGGTTCAATGCTCTATATTAATATTAAGTTAGTTTTTCTTTCTTGTAGAATCTCTAGACAAGTATTATATTGTAGAAAGGCTACAACAATCTAATGTCTCCAGTATAGGTTTTTAATAGGCCTAAATTGAACATTAGATTGTCAACTAATCGAAGAGGAATTGAAATTCTTTTTAACTTATAACCTCGAAGAGAGATGATATCTTTTTCATTCTACAAAATATGGTCGGTCGTTTTCTTTCTTTTTTCGAATTCCTAAACTTTTAACTGATAATATTATTATCATTTTTGTTTTATAATCAAATGTGTTAAACTTTTTTTGTTTATTATGGAATTTTGGAAATGTTTGAATGTAAGAATTATAGAATGTGTAGTTTGAATTTATTTTCTCATTTTTCATTTTGAATTGAATTGTATGATTTATTTTTTCTTATATTATTTGAAGAGAATATTGGGCATGGCTTTTACTTATTTCCATTATCGTATAACATTTGATTGTAGTACTTTTGAGAATTAGAAAGTAGTTGATAATGTTGTATTTTATATTATTTAGTTCTTTTACCTCTCTAGTCTGTACCCGGTTTCATTGTGTATATTATAGTTCCAAAGAAATTTGCAAATATTTCATTTTACAAAATATTGAAAATGATTTCATTAATGGAATTGTGTTTTACTAAAAAAGAAAAATTCTATTTATTCCTTTAATTATTTTATAATATTTGTTGGAAATTATAAGAGTTCTTTTTCTATGAGAAATTCTTTATTTCCTCTTTCTATTATAAACTAAAAATAAGAAAAAAGAAATTAAATTAATTATTATGTATTAATTTTAATAAAAAAATATTGATTTTTAAGGTATGAAATAACATTATGAGTGATATATTTTGATGATTCTTTCTGAGTATTGACAGCTTAATTATGTTGTTAATACTATAGTCATTTTTCAATAACAGATGAAATGTTTGGAAATTCTGATACGGAAGAATTCAATCAGAAAGAAAATTTTAAATTAAACTCTATCACAATGCTCTTACCTTATCTTTCTAATTGATATACGATAAATTAGAATGCTAAGGTATAACTTACCTGCTTTTTTAGTATAGGCAAACAACTTTTTTTTATTAAAAGCTTATATATTAGATTAAAATTTACGAACTATTAGCATATAGCAATTGTTAAATCGTTAAAGCTTCAAAGCAGATGATGAAGGATGACGTGCAAATGTATCGTACGTGATATGTGCGATGCGTGACACATTGATTTTGTTATTGATAGAATCATTCTTTTTTAAATTCAAATATGGCTTCATTGATCAATTACTATTATATAAGTAATAAGTCAGTAGTGTCACTTTATAAACAAACTTAACACAAAGTGTTTTATGGTAATATTAGGCAAATATATGAAGAGAGAAAAAATACTTAATCAGTAATGATTGTCGGCAAGTTTTAAAGCGAGTATTGTCAATTTAGAAAACGAATAGACGGATGGCCAGGTATAATAATTTTAAGCTGTTACGTCTCATAGAATCATTTATTTTAATTAATAAATGATGATATAACCAAATGATCATAATCATTACTGCAGGTACATTGCTTTCTTAACGCTGCGCAAATTTGACATTGAATTATGATTTCCGTTGTTATAATCCATTCCATTAATCTAAAATATTTACTTTGAATTGATGAAAAAAATTTAGACGGTTTTCTGATAATTTCATAGCATTGAATTATTCCTGAATACCGGAATCAATTTAGTGTAATCTGAATGTTAAAATTACTAACGTTAGCAGTATCGTGGATTACTAGAAAAGTTTTGCAAAGAGTTGCTCCTTAATTTATTTTATGTTTTCAGTTAATCATCTCTTATGATATATTCCAGGCTAGAATATAAAATTTATCACTATAACAATAAATTCATGTTTAATTAATCAACAAGAAACGAAAATAGAATATGAGGAAAATTTGAGTTATGAAGGCTTTTTAAATTCACAACTCTTAGAATATTTCTCATAATACTTTCAAATCACCCGGTTAGTCTCGGGGGTTCAAAAGTTTTTGCTTATTGAATAGTAAACATTACTTTTATATATTTTTTGATCTATTTTGCACTTACGTGCAAAAAAATGCTTGAAATTCATTTAAGCTGTCAAAAGAGAAACAGAATTTTATGAAAGAACTCTATTGATACTAAATTTTACTATTTTAATCAATTTGTCCCATTCGAATTGATTGATATGTGGATATCCTCCAGATGACCCGAATCTTTTTCCCGATCTGAATAAAGCTCCACGTAAAGCATTTGTTGCAATAAATAATGCCATGCAGACAAACACACCTGAAATATTATTTAAATTAATATTACTAAACGATATCGATAAATTTATGATATGAAAAGTTAATTAGCGATAAATAGTACCATAATTTTGGAGATAAATCAATAAAAATTATGTTTCAACATTATCTTTTAAGTTAACTATAAATTTGACCAAAGTATAAACTTTAAAATACATCAATGTTTTGAAAAAAAAGTTATATTTGAGGGAAGTTTTTTTCTTATTCGATTTAAATTTAAATTCTTACATGAGATTCGAAAAGTTGTAGACATTTGCACAGGAAGAGATGACTTTCTTGGCGAGGTTTGTTGAATTTTGAAAGTCTTCGAAGTAAGCCTGCAATTTAAAAGCTTAAGAAATTTATTCATATAACTGTTATACTATTGCTATTATAGTTGTGGAAGAAAGTGAAAACGAAAGAATTTAAATGGGAGCATATTTAATTAAAGAAATATCGAATGCAAAATATACCTTAATTTAATTTCCGTTCTCAATTCAACTTTACTTCGTCAACAAAGAATTGATTTTTTGATTCGATTTTTCTAATACAAAAAATCTATTACATTTTTCTGCATAAATATCAGCCTTATAATTAAACTATTACTAAAACAGTTCAAATATTATATCTAAATGATATCTATGCGTCATATTTGAATTATTTTGTTATGAGTAATTGGAAATCATTTGAAAATTTTGCATACTGTTTTTCGGCAAAATCTTTTTTTAGTTTTGTAATTAAAAAAATCGCAATTTTTTCGTTGTAATTTTTTTGTTGACAATAAATTTGAATTTTTCTTGTTTAAATTAATTTTCATCCTTTTAAAACTTTTTCCTTAAAAAAGAATTTTGCAAGTTACTAACTTACCGTAGGATTTTGAATGGAATATGTCTAAAATGTGCTCCAAACTTACCTTCAACGTAGATTTTACAACTCTTAATCTATGCTGCAAAACTTAATAACATTTCCAGAACTTTCGTTAAAAGTAAAAAAGAATTTCAACGATTGTGGCGAATGAATATGAAACAAAACCTTTTGTTATCTATCAATCAAAACATTTCACAATTTTATTAAAAGCTTTTAAACTTAGATTTGCTTTGTAATTTGAGCATTGCATAGATGGAACTTTTTTTTGAAATTAGGCTGCAATGAAACTTATCTTTGAATGAATGCCATTTCTAAGTTATCAGTTATTTGAATCAGAATACTGTGATAACACGCAGATATAGTTAATCTTATGTTCTTAAAGAAGTTTTTTGCAATGTTAATCATTAAAGCTATTTTGCTGAATTAAATGTTAAGCTTTTTATTCATCTTTCAAGTAACAATTCTAAATTCATTCATTTGCATAGGTGAAGAATGTTTGTGGAAGTATTCATATGTTTGTATTTGTTGACAATATTTTGTTTGGCTTATTATCACCGCCATAATAATAAACCATTTCTTAATTATCATTTAAGATTGAAAATTTTCAAAAAAATTTTTGGAAAAAAAATTTCAATGCAATAAAATGAAAAAAGAAAAAAATTGCTGAAGAAACGAAGAAATTTCTGTTTATTTCATTTTTTTCATTCTTTTTTTCTGCTCTATGCAATATTACAATTATAAAATGCAATGAAAAATTCGATACGATCCGATTCCATCATCACAATATCTACACAGTATCGGTAAACTGATGAAGAATGGAGTACTTATGCTTAAGCAATCATTGAAGATACCTACAGCAATCCTATATTTCTTTTCTCTCAACTAGTTTTTCTCGATCATCATTATTCTCCTTTGGCGCTTTTGTCTACTCTTCACTGAATCATCTAGCTCAGCTTTTTACTGCAGTAGCATTTTTTAAAACTTAAGAATTTTTCTGATCTACATCGAGTGCTTCAATTCTGTTAATAAAATATCATCTACTTCTCTTCCAATTCCTTTCCATCTTATCCATCTTATCCACACTTCTTAACATACTGTTAGCGAAGTTATATTACTATGAAGTAAAGTGAAGTGGAAAACAAGTATTAGCAAGCTTTGCTTGACAATTGCCTAAACTTCTTTACTCTAATAGTTACCAGTGAATACAAACACTGTTTTAGTTGAATATTAGACTTTCAATTCGGAAAATATTGAAAGCGTTATATTACGAACAACTAATATGGAGGCTGGTTTTATTATTAATATAATTATTATAGTTATATTGATGATATTATTCTATCATTATCATTTTAGCGTAATAATTATTATTTTATAATTATAATTATTTCTTAGTTAGGCTTTTTGTTATAAGCTGTCAACTAGTAATTAAATAATTTTGTACTTCGACTCAAAAACAATTTTTTTCTGTTCTTTCAGAAAAAAATTAATTTTTTGCCATCTTCGTTGACAATTAAATAATATAAGAAAAGTTCAACTTCATATCTTTACTTTCATCTTTCATCATAAAAGCTATCTGTCAGCTATCGTTTCAGTCTTTTCGGAGATAATATCATTTCAAGATATAATTATAAAGTCTTTGATGTTATATTTAAATTTGGCATATCTTTTAGTTTCTTCCCCCCCTACTTTATCCAATTTGAATATTTCTCGGCACAACTTATCTTTATCTGAATTTGAGATCGTTGTTGAATATTTCGAGACCGAGTCATTATTGATTTATACCTATCTCTTTGATTTATCATGGCAATTCATGCTGTTCTTCGGTTATTCTTTCTGTTTCTTCTAGCATTTCTCTCATTTTCACCGATTTAAGCCATTCAGGGAGTCACTTTTAGCTTTTCAAGGCCTAAAAAGTTTCCTTCTTATTTTATTGATAAATTCAGTTACACTCAAATCTTTCAACTATGATGGAAAAATGCAGTAAACATATGGCTAGTGAGATACAGTCGTTATCACTAACTTTACGATGATATATTTCAATTTCAATTTCTTTTGTACCTTATTTTCAGACTTGGCAAACTTTTTCTTACTTCTCTTTGCGTTGATGTGAGCCATAGTAGTCATTCTGAATCAGTTTATCTTCGTTTGAATCCGTGTCCATCAGATTCTCTTATTCTTCTCTTCTGTATCAATTCGAGGAAAATTTCTTCACTTCAATTCTTGATCTTTTCTTTCTCCACGCATTATTGACGGTTATAGCTGTTCGACACCATACTTTGATTAAGGTATAGTGCCGAAAATTAAGGTAATCACTAGATGATCACTGAATATCTGGTAAACACGATCCCTTCCGATTCGGGCATCATCGAATCAATTCGACTTTTTTTTCTCTCATTTTTAATGTAGATCTTCATGGATAGTGAACCATCAAACGAACAAGATATGACTCCTACAAACATATTAAATTCCATATCCATTTAGTGAGATTTTTAAAGAAGAATTTCAATGCCATCTGTGTTGGTCGATTTTAATTCTTCTGTAGCTTAACATTCTTGTTTGATTGAAAACAGTCGTAGTAATTTTTTACTTTTATTAGTTTTATTAGATCACAATTATTTTTTACAAGTTCCATTTTAATATTAAAAAAAAAACTTAGTTTTCAAATATTAATATGTACGTAAAAAATTCCCAAGAAAAGCAATACTCGATCATGTTGGAGCAGATTATTCAGATTTTTGTGAAATCGAATAGTGTAGAATACTGAAATATTAAAACCTATTTCTAAAACTTATTTCATTCGATGAATAATTTCATAATTAAAATTTCGAACGTTGACAGTAGAAAGAATAAAATAAATAAATAAATAGCAAAGAAAAAGCACAGTGCAACTGACAAGTAAACCATTTTATGAGATAATAAGCATAAAAGAATAAAAATTATAAATTTAAATAGAAAAAAATTTTCTACAAATATTATTAATTATTATTGATTGAATCAATGTTTCATCAATGCATGTTTATTTTAGGATAAGGCAGAAAATGAAGAGAAGCCAATTAAACGAAAGTGGAATTTGGAACAGTTGCGAGCTGGCGATACTTTTTTATCCTTACAAGCTGCCACAAATAAATATGATTCGCAAAAAGGTATGACTGCGCCCGGTATGCCACGGTGGAACATTACAAAGGACAAACATCTCGGGTTTCAATTTCTTTTTTTGAAAGCTTGATATATTATTGATCTGCAACAATTATGTTATAAAATGAATGGACTTTTTTTTGAGTGAGGAAAATGTCGAAACGATATATAAATATGTTATAACTTAAAATAACATTAAAAAAGAATTCATCCCTCAAATGTTATAAAATATAAGTCTTTGATCGATTGAGTATTTTCCGCGTAGAGTTAATATGTTGCATGTTTGATTAATAAAAGTAAAGAATGAATGAGTAAAAGAAAAGTAGCGGAATATTTCAGGTTTATAAATCCTGATCGAAAAAGTGAAGAAATGCTAAGAGTGCAGTATGGAAGCAATCAATATGCTTCACAAAAAGGCCAGTTTTAAATTTCGTTTAATGAGAATGTTTTCTTTTAACAAAGTTTTTGTTTTTATTTTAATTATGCGTTTAGTTATTTCGTAATTTATAATTTAAATTATTTTTTGGATGGAAAAGTTGATGGCTTTCTTTTTTGAATGTTTTATTTTCAAAAAAGATTTTGTTATTGTTTGGCTTAGAATATTTTGTATAATGTAAAACCTATTGTGTTTTGTCTTAGAATAATAATTAATTTGGAAGAGTTTATTTCTTTGTGATGTATGATTGAATCAGTTTAATTTAAACTTAAGTAATTAAACCATAATATCATATACTTCTCCAACAATTTTAGGCTTAACACCAATTGGTGCATCAAGAAGTCAAGTGTTAAAAGTAGAATATAAAAAAGACTGGAATACAATAGTTGACAAACAGGGTGAAAATTTTATACCTAGGCAATCTGGTGATTATGGAATGGCTACGCAATCCGGAGAGGTCATTTTATAATATTTTTGATCTTATAAATAAATTAATGCAAGCTTTTTCAGATTAAATTATCAAAACTTTTAGCGTTCGATGGGTTCTCACCGTAATCAGGTACCAATTATTAGAGGACGTTTACCACGAGATCGACGTACACACGGTGTATTATGTTATCAGTATGGTACAAACATATTTGCTTCTCAACAAGGTATGAATGCACCACCTGGTATCGGTGCAGTACGACAAGTTACCATGGAAATCGAAGGACTTGGTTTTACGTTAGTCTACAAATAACATCTCAACTGTTCAGTTGCTAGTACTATCATCAAGATCATATCAAAGAGGATGAGTTAAATTTTACAAAATTAGCTAAGTAACTGAATAATTTTTTTCGACAGGGAGGATGGTTTACGAAAGGGTACTGCATTTACGCCATGGTACTCAGGACAAAATAAATTTGCCAGTCAAGCAGGTACTGGTGGTTTTTTGAAAGTCCGTGATATACTACCAAACTCAAAGGTATTTTTTTTGTTTTAGCTAAAAAGAAAAATTTTAGGTTAGATTTGATATGGTTTTAATTATTTTAAGAGATTACCTGTGTGTTAATATTTTAGAAGTATATATGGTAACATTGATTTATTGAAAAAAATACAGTCAAAATAAGTTGTAATAGAATTAGAACTGTTAGCATTCATGGAACAAATACAAAAAGTTGTGCTAGGGAATCACTTATTCTTGATTTTGGAATTTATTGTAACGATTGGATAAAATTAGAATAAATACAATTTTTTCATCAATAAAATAATCCGCTACTATTTCAATGAATGGTACTAATTTCACTTCTGGCGGTTATTGAAGTGATGTTTTAGGGTGGTAAAGAAATTGATGAAGCGTTGAAAATTAAATCGGAAGGTATTGTACCACTTCAAGCTGGCACCAACAAATTTGCATCTCAAAAAGGTATGACAAGTTTCGGAACACAAAGAAACGTATTGCTGAAACAAGGATGGAAAAAAGAATGGTTCGTAATTTTCTACTGAAATCAGTGAAGTACTAGCATTTTTTTATTCATACTTATGACATTAGATTTCCACAATGCATTCAAAAATCCAGGCTAATTTCTAGTCCGTTTTGAAAAACGAGTCCAATTACGTCCTTTTGCTACTAATTCTCTGGCTCACTTAAATTTGATGTGTATCAGGATTGAAGAGTATGAGCGTGCATTGCGTGAATTTGACGAGACTCGACCTCCCGGCTCATCACCCGCTGCTGATTCACTTGGATATTGCAAAAAGAAGTTCGAGGAGAGGAAAGAAGTTAGAAAAGTTATTTGAATTTCTTGAAATTTCAAATTATTATTGAGAGATCAGTTTTAATTTTAAAAGCATGATAGGCATGCAATGTTAAGAAAATTTTACTGTTCCAATTAATTGATTAGTAGCAAAAGTTCTAAAAGTGAAAGATCAATTTAAATTTGTTTTCAATTCTTATAAAGTCTTGAAAGTTTGAGATATTTAAAAATTCGTTTTGAAAAAAACTCCCTAACATGATACTTGATAAACGTTAAGTGAATCCAGAGAATAAATGTAGAAGTGTAAGACAAAGAGAAAGATTATATTATTAACTGATATCAATGAAGGAAGTTATATTTAAAATCTCACGAAAATTTAAATTTGTCAATAATGATATTTGAAGGGAAAGTCTCCCAACATCATTAACTAAGCTTTTTTCTCCCACGATCATAAAATAACCTAAAATTAAGCATACAAAAAAAGATTGAGCAATACACAAATTCTTAAACAGCATTATTACAAAAAGGCAAATAAAGAGAGAGAGAAAGAGATAAAAATTGAAAAAAGTGTTTTATTTGAAGTAGGGTGGAAGTTTTGGTACAAGAAAATTAATATAAAATAAATACTTATTTTCCCATAGATATCATAAAAGATCAAAGTGGTAATAACTCAAGATCATATATATACTAGGTCATCACAAATCACTATCATGATAGGGAGAATATGCTGCATGAACGAATCATAATAATCAGTAAGAAAATAACAATATTAAACTTCGAAATATTGTTGTGATAATTCCAGCGTTAAGCATTTATTTAATTGGAAATACATAATTTCCAATAGATCGAAAAATTTTAGGAAACTTCAAACAATAAATGAGAGTTTTAATGAATGAATATTGTCAACATGTAGTAATAATCGCAGAGTGATATTGACAACTCTCAGATCTTTAAGCGTTAGTGAAGAAAAATACAATAGAATAGTTAAGGCTTAAATGATGTTTCAGGCGGAAGACAAAATTGAGGAGGAAGTGAAAGAGAAGAAAATGAATGTGGAAGAAGAAAAGGTTAGTTTTTCGATAAGAATGGAATTTGAAATAGATGCAATAATTTTTATTACAGATGAAGAAAAAGTCAATAAAAGATGAAGAAGAGGAAGATAAAGGAGATGATAAGGAGGAAGAAAATGAAGAGGTAGAAGTGGAGGAAGAAGAGGAAGAAGAGGAAGAAGAGGAGGATGAAGAGGAGTAATTCATATTAATGTTTTTTTTTTTTAAGTTTATATATTTTAAGTTGTATCGTACAAGTGTAGTAGTTTATCTATTATGATAAAAGTGGGAACGGTGTCGAAAATATCGTTTTCACCAAAGCACTTATAATATTCGGAATTGTTTCGTCTTGATGGCTCATACTTCACCCGTATTTTCATGTCTTAATTTCGGATCTTTGATGAATGCAGTACTTTGTTTCCAAAACTTGAATGCTTGCATGAAATAGATGGATGATTCTTCTTTCATAACTTTGCAGTTTGATGGCAAATGAAGAGATTCAAGCGCTTAATTCCTTTTAATTGGCGAAGTTTGCTTCATTATTTATCTATTAAATCAGGAAAAAAATGAAATGCAGAAATGGTAAAAAGAAATTTGCGTGATCTTTCAAACACTCCCAACTTTGAGGACTTCAACACGTTGTTGAAAAAAAATATTCAGGATGTGCATGAACGACTGCTGAAAACTCGAAATTGAGCTACATTGTTGCAATGGTCGATTATGCGATACAGAGCATCTGCTGGAATGAAAACCAAACTGTCTACCTATTTCCGATTTCAGTATCACTATTTTTTGAAATTAAATTGCTACTAAGCTTAAGCTATTAAATTAAGCTTCTTAATTATGTAACTATCCTCATTAAGACTTTCCAAATCAATGAGGCAGTGTATGAGATAATTGACATCACTATCGACACTCAATGGAAGTGCTAAATGAGTTTTTTCAGTCCACAAATGGACTCTGCGCAGGTAAATCGAAATTCATTTTATTCCACTTAGATATTATCGTCATATTTCAAGCAACTAGATACACCAATATTTTGGCTCCAAAGATAAAATACTAATAAAAATTCTTGCTCATTTCATTCATTAAATAGGATGAAAAGATCCCCAATGGTGTTATCTGTTATCTTGATGTAAGCAACAACTAATTTTTTTAAAGACCGCACTTTGGCTATTTACAATCTTCTGTTTTACCCTGTTCCCAACTACAACTTCTGGACGTCTTTGTAGTCGCACCAATCTCAGTCTTAATATTTATAAAGTAGTTGATGTAAGTAGACTTTTTATGATAAAACTGAAAGATATCACTGGCAGATTATAAGCCCGGCTGGTATTTTTTTTTGTTGTTGCACTTCCATAAAATCCGATAAAAAACCATGAAGTCATTACCATATTATGGACAGTTAACGCTTACAAGGTCCTCCCCCAAAAATAGCTTTGATAGCTTTTTTTGTAGTTGTAATCATGTAAATCACTCCTTCAGTTGGAACACCCATGAATGAAAGGATGCAGTAATAATCCACATTTCCCAAACGTATTTTTGAGAATTTTGGAAATAAAAATGTGGCAATAACTTGATGCTAGTAATCGGAACAAAAAAATAAAATAACCAATTTTCCAAAAGAAATATAACAAGGTTACCGCACAACTTTGCTATGACCATGCTGTCTATATCTCTCCATAAAAATTTTCAATCGACGTCTCAACTTGGTAACCATGAACAAGAAAGAGATTTTCGAAAGCTTTCTACGATTAATTTATATAATAAAGCACTAGGTTCCTTGTGAATTCACAGCTTCTATGGTATGACTACACAAAGATTTCAAGTTATAACTCGTAGATCAAGAAATGACAAGAACTTGATTCCGCGCATGTGTAACAAAAGATATCAACTAAAATATTCTTCGGTAAGACAAACTGATCACTTATGTATATCGAAAGCTCGTGGTTGAATGGACTGTATATTTAAATGCCGGAAACTCAACAAAAAACCTCTAAACTAAACACTACGAAAAACTTTAGGAGCAGATAACTTTACATACTGATTAGTACGACTGGAATATGTATGTGAATTGATAAAAAATATTTTACTCTCTTTAGTCAACAAACAATTTGAAAACAAGGAGCAAAACAAAGTTATGCTTTTACAGCATATTTCCTCATCGGGTACTTGCGAAGTTTGGCAAGCTGTTTTTTTGTTTTCAAATTCGCTTCGTGCTTAGTCAGCGCTCGACGCATTGCTCGTGTTTTCTTTGGTCGAATATCCAGTGGTTTGAAATGTTTTCCCTTAAATTTTGAATTACTCCACATGGAAATAAACATGTTCGGATTACATTCTTGTTTTATCCAAATTAGATATCCTAATCCTGATAAGCCGGCAGCACATACATATTTCATTGTACACTATGATTTGCATAGTCTTAACGCTTCCAATTTTGTGATATAACTAATCTGATCAAAAAAAGAAATCAACCTACATATTCAAAAATCTTTTAAAAATACCGCTATTACACGAATTAATAGTTTTGGAAGAAAATCAGATGCAAAAAGAAAACCTGTGGGCTACGAGGTTAATGTTATTCCTATTGATGATGGATAAGAGCAAACGATAACCTATGAGATTAAGGCTCTGGTAGGTTTTTTTTTTTTAAATCAATCAGTATAAATTATAAGCACAAAAAACAACTGACAATCTTTATTATAAACTGAATGCATCAGTATGTGGCCTACAAAAACAAGTTTTTATAATAATCAAATGAGGAATAAGCTAGTAAAATAACCTTGTAGAACTTCCTCAATTCCTGCTTCTGTGTCTGATTGATGACTGTCAAAATGCGAGCAATGTTCTTACGGACAGTACGAATCTTCGAAAGTTTCGAAGCACCTCCACCGACTACTTTTGATACCTGCAATAAGTACTTCAGCCTTCCCATAACTCCAGCAAACGAAAAATGCAAAATATGTACTGGAACATCTAGTACCAAAATAGTAATCGCTTGTTTTCTACAGCAAAATGTGATTTGAACTAGCGTTTTCAAGATGAGAATCCGAAATTAAAAAACGGACCTGAAGTGAAGCAAGTTCCGTCTTCTGTTCATCAAGTTGCTTCATCAATTCTTCCTTCTTTTTTCCCCTCAAATCGCGGGCCTTAACTTTAGTCATCCTTCTTTCTGCTAAAACAAATGTTTCACACTTTCAAATTAGAAATTAGACCAGAAAACTTATACACGCAATGAGAACAGAAGATGGGAGCAAATTTATAAAGGATTAAAGAGTTATGGACTAAATATACGTCGTCTTTTTATCGTGACATACGTCTCACTTACTTATATCACCAGTCCTTTCCACTGATTGATGTCAGATGCCTCGTTTTTATCGCTGACTTAGAACAAAATTATAAAATGACAAGCTAACTCTCTACAACTCAGAAATCCCGAGCCAACAAACCCCCTTCTATATCCCTCTCCCGCCCAACGCTACCTCGAGTGAGTCTCCCTCAACTTCTTACGACTCCAATAAACAGCAAACCAACACCATGTACAACGGATTGAAAATTCCGTCTCACTAACTGCTCTGATCTATGATGATCAGTGTGAAAATGGTCCGGTTGACGGTGAGATTGGGAGTAGGATGATCAGTGCAATGTATAGGAGAACAGTTTTGACTGTAGGTCGACTATTCAGGTTGTCACGAACGTTCCCTTTCGATTTTTACGTTCTAATAACCGCCCAATAGTGATTGCATACGTATCATTACGAACTTTTTCATAAATTTTAAATTGATGGGAAAGATGAATGCTTCTCGTATATTGTCACAAATTTTTAACAATATCATTTTGAGGTGTGGTTTTCTCAATGCTGCCTTATGTTTGACAGAATACAGATTTGAACTGTAAGTGTAGACTTTGATGATCACCATGGGTACTTCTCAGTATATTATTCTCCTTCTTATCGTCTATTTTTGTTTAAGGCGGAGATATAATTTCTGTAAATGTTTATAGACATTTGGGATATGAGTTATATTTAGGCCGATAACATCCTTCGAGCGTTGATTAAGCAGATGTAAAGTCTTCAACAATAATTTCCTTTTCATGCTTTAAACAGCATAGTAGCCCATTCTATATAATGATATCACGTTACATTTTATCTTCCAAGATCCATGGTCAGAAGGCAACTATATGTCATCAGTCGTTAAAATCAACATATAATGAGAAATGTTTTACTATTTGTTTAAGGAAGATGACACAAGTAAAAAATGAAGATGATGATAATGATTTACGGCTAACGGATCAAACTACTTTTGTACCTGATAATTTGCTGGATGAGTTATTGGAGCCAGATCGTGTTGTGGAAGCGGAGTACTTTCTTGAAGCCTGCTCAAGCGAAGGTTGGATCTGTGTAGTGGTAATTAATCAACTAAGTTTCTCTTCGGGAATTAAAAATCATAAATTTTAAAAGTACACAACTCTATATATTGCGTTGTTCGTACTCATCATCGTTTCAATAATTTCATTTGTTCTCTTGCAGCTTTTTACAATAGATGTAGTTCCTCTTTATCACATGATATTATAAGATAAATAATTTCCAAGCCTAGATAAATAATTTTGTTATGAAATTGAAGGTGATTTATGCAGTTTCCTTAATATTGTTGAAGTTGTGAATAACATATGTTATAGTTTTCTCTGTCGTAAGACAACCTTACTTTGTATCAAAATAATTACTAATAACCAAGCATTAATCAGTGCAGCTGAACCTTATTGAAAGCTTGTTACAGTCTTTCTTTTATCTTTAGTTTTTTAATATAAAGCCTACTGTCCTTTATTTTAAAATTGAATGATTTTAAGACTTGTTGTCAATAACTTCATAATGTATGTTATGCTTCAGATTGTTTAGGAAGAATGCGCATGTGTTTTGATAGAACAATATTTTTTCGTTAAAGCTAGTAACACTAATAATTGAATTTTAGAAGGCGGGATTACACACAATACAAACGTTGTTGTTGGTAATGGTTGTGAATCTGTCGACGTCAATGAAGAGGTTTTTTTTTGAAACTCTTTTAATTAGACTTGGTTCACGCATAAGAATCGGTAAACATCAAGTTCTTGGCAGATCATTTTTTGCCATTTTCACAAAACTTGTAAGTTGAGAGCATTTCACGAAACTTGTAAGTTGAGAGTTCCTTAAATTTTAAAACTTTTTGCATGTTAGTCGGAAACTTGGCTGACAATTGCTTGGCTCTTCCTTTTTTTTTATTGTTGAATTTCCGTTTTCTATTGTAATTTGAAACTTTTTCAGCACTCAAATTTTTGTTATCTTATTTATTTCTGAATCTCTGTTTTTATCAATTTTGTTGAGATTTAACCGAAAACTTATCGTTTAAAATATCAATAAATGAGAACAACTACTCCATTATTATGTTTTAGAGAAGTGACAACACGAAACAGTATGGGCTGGAAATTTCTGATGTTTCTAAGAAAACGGAGACCATTTCAAGAATAGTGAATAAAAGAGAGAAAGTTCGTTTGTACTGTCTTGACTTTTGGTCAGCTAAATCAAAGCAAGCATATGATTCCAAAGAAGTTTGACGAGAGTTTGACGTAAAGAATCCAGTATATAATTTATATTAATGCAAAGTAAGAATGAAAGAAATGTCGAAAAATTCAAAGAAGGTTGAAGAAATGTCGCAAATTCTGTTCATTTTTCGAGTAGCTAATTGTATGCTAGGATATTGATTTATGCACTCTATAGAGTTCGAATAATTGCTAGCGAATCTATTAATTGATTACTTATTTAATTTTTAGGGAAAATTGCAGAATATTGGTGATGGTAGTAGTAAAAAAAAAGAGGAAATGGCAGTGGATAATGTTGAGAAAAACGGAACTTCAGAAAATAGTGATACTGTTGGTGAGGGCAATGATGATGAAATAGATGATAAAGACGGGGAGAGTGAAGATGAATACGTGGTGGAAAAAATCCTTGACAAAAGATACAATCGACGGAAGAAAAGAATCGAATATTTAATTAAATGGGCAGGGTATGACAACGAAAGTGAAAATACATGGGAATCTGCAGAAAATTGTGTAATTTTCTTAATTTTTTGTCTATCTGTTCCTTTCCTCACGCATTTACTTTTAGAAGTAAGTTCACTCATTACAGTTATTTAAATTTACCCATATTCAACTACATTATTTTTAATACTGCAATGTATTGAGATTTTTTTTGTATCAATCTAAGAGTTAGGGCATTCATCTGAATCACAATCACCAAAAAATGAACATGACGATGAAGTAGGTAAAAGTTTTTTAAAACATGATTTTTGACAAAATTTTTTATAAAATGAAGATATTTAAGAAATCTGCTCCTGATGCAATTCGTGAATATGAGGATAGTCTGAAGAAAAATACGAAGAAGTATTTGCTACGAAATAGACCAATAACAGAGGTTATTTTGTTTTATGTCAGTTGGCTATGTTCTATTTATTTGGTTTATTTCTCTATCTTTCTTCTTTGCCTTTGTCTTTTGCTAACTACGAGTCTTCAGGAAAGTGTTTCAAATGATGACGAAGAGAAACCACCGAAAGCTTTAAAAAGGAAAACAAATGAAATTAAAGAGGAACCATATTCCGAAGGTTAATATATCAAGTGCTTCTTATTGTTAGCTATTAAATACTAAATCCCACTTTTCGATATGTTTTAGAAAGTATCGATGATGACAGCGAAGAAATTCAGTCAAAACGTACTAAAATTGACTGCATTCTTGGTGTCAAGAAGGAAGGTAATGAAGTCCTGGCAGTAGTGCGTTTTGAGGATGGACATCATGATCTTATATCTACTCGGATATTAGTCAGCAAATGTCCAAAGGTAATTTTTATAAACATTTTGAACACTGCTTTCACTAGAATTCGTAGCTAACTCGTGCGAACTTGGATGATTACATCTTTGTTTTTTGCTTTTATTAAAAGTAAATTCCGTCTCGATCATTTTAATATTCAGTAGCGTTTATTGAACTATGCGAAATTCAATTGGTAAAAGTCCATTTATGAAGTAAACATCAAAGAATAAATCTGAGGTGCTATGTCGAATAGAGATCCCTTAATTGCATATTATCTCACATAAGTGCTGTTGTTGTGATCCAGTGCAATTTCAGAAATTGATAAATTATTATGAGAAATCATTAAAGTTCGTCTCATCGTAAGAGATTTGGAGTGATTTATCGGCGTGAAATAGTTGTATTTTCTTTTTCCATTGTTTCTGGATGATGCTTTTTACGTGTTTCAGTTAAACTAACCATCAATTTTGTTCTTTAGTGGGAGGTGATTTACTATTTTTTAAGTATACAGAAGCCATGTGACAGTAAGCATGATTTATGCAAGGTTCAAGTTAAAAAAAAGCTGTTTAAAATATTAAAGTCGCTAGAATATAAGATAAATGTTCTTCGGTTACTCCGAGATATACATTAGTAATTACTAGCAGTGCACATTTTTAAACATATTAATGCAAGTGAAAATGATTCTATATTCCTATTGTTTGTTCCGAATATGTGTCAGTTATTTATTTTTTCGTTGTGATGTACTTACTGTTGTGTAATAATATCCACTTCATTGAATAAAAGTTGATGAATTTTACCGTTAGCTGTATTACCTGTTGATTTCCAGCAATCTCCAATTCCTATTCTTCATATTTGTTTGATGGGTATTTTTACCCAATTTTTATTCTGGTGGCCTTGACCAAAAATGGTATTTAGCTATATTATATTACAAAAGTACGATATAAGTAGTTAAATTTTGAAGTTACCCAAGTTTTTTACTACGTTCTTTTAGTAACAGGTCTAATGCAATAAGGACTAAGTATATTTTTTGATGTGCCCAAACATTTTACCATAAAAATCACAATGGTGGCACCCTTACTTATAATTCCTTCCCATGTATTGAGTTAGTTGATAGGTTATTCCGTATTGTGTGTTCAACTTGATCTTTTTAAGAGTGTCGCAGTTCGATACTAGTAGGACGAGTTCAGATCGTAATATAGTTGAGATTGATGTCTAATGCTGTTGAAACTGAGGCTGTTCAAGTCAATGGCGATCTGGCACCGGGGAAGTCAAGAGAAACGAAGAAGCTGAAAAAGGAGACAGCGAAAGCAGCGAAGCTAGCAAAATTTCGTGAGAAGGTGAAGAAGGTTGAAGTGAAAGCATGTCAATCAAAACACATGAACGAGGTTTATTTACTACAATTCTAGTTGCTTTTTCTTTTTGGTCCCGGGACTCATTTATTTAATTTTTTTTGTATGTCTTTCAAATATTCAATAGCGTTTTCAGACAGCAGGAACAAAGAAGAGAGAGATTTGTGAATACACTGCTAATACAAAACTAGGAGATAAGAAGAATACTGATATTGAATTACCGAATGCTTATAGCCCAAAATATGTGGAGGCAGCTTGGTATGAGTGGTGGCAGAAATCAGGCTTTTTTCGGCCTGAGTATAAACGTGATTTAAGGTTGCTGCTTACCGATACGACAAAGCTTACTTATACTTTCTCGAGTTTTGTATTCCTGATGTCGATCCAATAAAAAAAATTCATTATAGGATATCAGTCAGGACTGGCTGACTCTTTTGTGCTTCATTTGTCTCAGGAACGAATTGCGCATCAAATGCAGTCCTAGATAGTTTTGTTAATAATAAATGCTAATGAAGCTTATCAAATGCTGAGTGCTCTTCTGAGTTATTTTTTAGAGCTGTGGGATTTTTGTTCTTTTGACAATTTTTCTTACGAGGTTTGTTGCAGTAAGCCGAATCCGAAGGGAATTTTCACTGTAGCTATTCCTCCACCGAATGTCACCGGAACATTGCATTTGGGACACGCTTTGGCTACTTCCATAGAAGATGCTGTATGTAGATGGTAATTTGTTAAAGGACTTTATTTCAATGGAATTTTTTAGTGTTTTTAGTGTTAGTGTTAAAGTATGACCTCGGACTTGTGAATGCTAATATATGGCTATTTATGAAATAAATATTATCCGTTTGGGTTTTTTCTAATTGATATCTTGTCGTTATTTCTTTAGTTGATAACATTAGCAGTCTTTGTGTCTTTAATGGAAAAATGAGGCTCTAATAATTTTTTAAATATATACATACATATGATTAGAATTCATTTCATTCTTTTTCTTAGGCATCGTATGAAAGGCAAGACAGTTTTGTTTAATCCGGGCTGTGATCATGCTGGAATCGCTACTCAAGTTGTAGTAGAAAAACGTTTGAAACGTGAATTGGGCTTAACAAGGCATGATCTGGGTCGTGAGAAATTTATTGAAGAAGTGTGGAAGTGGAAAAATGAGTGCGTTTTTTCTTCTCGGTTCTACTTGCAAAGAGTATAACGGTTATAGATGGCATGTGGAAGCATTTACGATTCCTTCTGAGCTAAGAGGAATTGCAAAAATCCGGGGTGTTTTTTTACTAAATTTAATTGTGCTTTATATATATAATCTTTGTGTTTTGTAAATGCTTCCACAATATTTAAAATTGCAGTTCAAGATATTTGACAATTCATTTTGAATTTCTGATTGAAACACAAGGTCTTTTTGGGAAAACCATAACTTTGCGTTGAGTTTGATGTATTTTTTCCTTCGTGCTGTTACAGAAAAGGGGAAGTAATTTACGACCAGCTACGAAAAATCGGTGCTGGGGTTGACTGGGATCGAGCTTGCTTCATGATGGATCCAAAAATAACACGAGCTGTAACATATGCCTTTATTGTAATGCATGAAAAAGGTATAATATATCGAAGTAATCGGCTGGTAAATTGGTGCTGCGTTCTAAGATCTGCTATTTCCGATATTGAAGTATTATTTTCAATTTTTCTTGTTCTTACCGTTCTTAATATTCATCACAAGAAGTGTGGTGAATATTAAGATAATTTTTACTTCGAATTGTATTATAAATTTTTAGTTCGAAATATAAGGCTTTTCTCCAAATTTGTGTTGAGTTTGACAGATTTTTTCCCAATGTTATGACATTACCGAAGAGGCAAAATAATTCAGAGCAGTTGAAAAATGTTCTGCATTATTATATATTGAATACTCTCATACTATTGTGAGAAATATGAGATTAATGGATGGTGCGTTTTTTTTAATTATATTGGTTTTGTATCACATTGCTCAATATCACTTTTAGGTTGAAAAAGTGGAGTTAAGTGGACGTACATTGCTGTCTGTTCCTGGGTATTTAAAAAAAATTGAATTTGGTGTATTGACATCTTTTGCTTATCCGATTGAAAATTCAGGTACTTTCAACACGTCATTTTCTTTTATTAAGATCTGGCTGACCGTATTTCATGTATTATTTTCAAACGTTGTTTCATTCAGATGACGAAGTCGTGGTGGCAACTACTCGAGTTGAAACGATGTTGGGTGATAGTGCAATTGCTGTGCATCCGAAAGACAACCGATACAAACATCTCGTTGGCAAGGTTCTTTCAACTTTTGCATTACGGACTATCTATTTAAGCGTAAGAATGTATGAAATATGTAAGCATGGTTTATTTTTTCTTAAAATGTTGAGCATTTTTCGTTACGCGGATTTATTTTGTTATTTTGCTTCTATATCAGAATATAAAGAAGTTTAAAAATCAGAAAAAGAACTGAACAATAACTCAAATCATAGCCTTTTGATTAAGGTATCTAATTTGTTCTAGAATTGCATTCATCCATTTCTTCAAAGGAAACTTCCAATCATAGCAGATTCTTTCGTGGACATGGAATTTGGAACGGGTGATTTTAGTTTTTTGTATACTTTTGAATTGATAATTCATTAACTGTTAGTTTATATCAGGAAATACTGTGTTTTGAATGAATTCCCAAATATTATCCAAAGTTGTGTCATTTTCATATTTTCCTGGTGAACGGATTTTTCTTATTGTTTTAATAATTGTGTAAAATCCTTGTAAGCGCTTCACCTTTATTATTACGATGTGGAAGATAAGCAGTCAAAAAATTAAAATGATTGAAGCTGAAAGTTTTGTTCAGGAGTAGTGAAAATAACTCCTGCTCACGATCATAACGATTATGAAGTCGGAATCCGTCACAATTTAGCATTCATTTCTTGTCTCACAGATGATGGCAACATGAACGAACAGTGTGGCCAATTTAAGGTTTTTTTTACTTTTTGCTTGCATTCGAGATTTTAGGAATTAGATAAAGATATTAGATATATGATGCATTTTATAAGCATATTTATGAAATTGAAATATTCGTTGCTCCCATTATCTAATTTATGTCTTTAGAACATGAAACGATTCGAAGCAAGGGACGCTGTTTTGGATGCGCTCAAAAAGAAAGGTCTTTTCAGAGGACAAACTGACAATCCAATGGTTGTTCCTTTATGCGGGTGAGCTTCTAGAAAATGATAACTTTACAATTAAGAATTTCTTCTGACATGTCTATTAGTTGAATAGTAAGCATGCCAGAAGCTTTCAAAACTTTTCTCACTGAAATCCCAAAAAAATTTCCAGTCGTACCAAAGATATTATTGAACCGATTTTGAAATCACAGTGGTATGTAAAATGTGATCAGATGGCACAGCGAGCTATTGAGGCGGTAGAGAAAGGTCATTTAAAAATCATACCAGATTTTCACGTTGCAACTTGGCGGAAATGGTTGGAAAACATCAGGTACTTTCAGTTTCTTTAGCTTTAATGGAAGATGCAAAGAAAATGCAGAAATTCTTTGAATCTGGCTAATTTTTCCTTCTAGGAAACAAAGTTTTTGCTGGACGCTCGTGCTTGTTGATATTTTTAACAGTGCCTTAAAGTTTACGAAGTGTTGGAATCACAGTGAAGTTTATCACTTGAACTTTCTTCTGGATTTGTGTCATTTGTGATTTTTCAGAGATTGGTGTATTTCGCGACAGCTGTGGTGGGGTCACCGGATACCTGCTTACTTTGTCAGTGTCAATGACTCCAAAATTCCTTCTGGAACTTCTGATAACAATGATTATTGGGTGAGTGCACATAATGAAACTGAAGCATTGAAAAAAGCAGCTCGAAAGTTTGACGTTCCGGAAGAGAAAGTTTCTGTGAAAAGAGGTAGTTTTCACGTCAGTTATTCATATGTTTATTAGATAAATCGGTGGATGGGTCTTATTCTCCCTGATCATTTTCTGGTTAATTTACTGTTAAAATTATTTTTTTTCAAAACTGTGTCATTTCTTTTTGTCCATGGCTCATATATTGATTGTCCGATAAATGATGTTTATAAGGTTATTTATAGATGAAGACGTTCTGGATACTTGGTTTTCTTCCGGAATGTGGCCATTCGAAATTTTTGGATGGCCTGAAAAAACTGCTGATTTGGATAAATTTTTTCCTGTTACACTTTTGGAAAGTGGGCATGATATACTTTTTTTCTGGGTGGCACGGATGGTGTTTATGTCGCAAGAGCTTACTGGGAAGTTACCGTTCCAGGAAGTTAGTTTATTAACTGCAGTAGAAAAAGTGTGGTGTTACAGAAGTGACAAAAATGAGATTTCCTGGCAAGATTTTTTGCATCTAAGGAAAAATAAACTTCTTTGAAGCTGATTAAAATATTTAAGCAGTGAATTTCCTTTTACAACATTAAACCTATCTTCTTTTTCTTCTAGGTTTATTTGCATGCCATGATTCGAGATGCTCATGGACGTAAAATGAGCAAATCCTTAGGTAATGTAATCGATCCTCTGAATGTGATACATGGTATATCATTGGCGGAGCTCAACAAAATGTTGGAATCTGGTAACCTTGATCCGAAGTAAGCATTTTAGTCAAAAGTGAACTGCTACTAATCTTAAATACTTTGTACATCAAAATCTCTTTATAATTTTTGCATGACTATGCGTGCACTTTTTGTTGCTCTTATATTTTATCTTGGATTACAGTGTTTTAATGGCAAGAGCTTTGCATAACACAATACTCGATTTGATTATGACGAAGTAATCGTGTTCAGTTTAAAGAGATAACACATTTACTTTGTTATCATTACAGGGAAGTAAAAAGAGCGAAAGAAGGACAAGCACATGATTTTCCGAATGGCATTCCAGAATGTGGTACTGATGCATTACGTTTTGCACTGATGAATTATACCATTCAATGCCGAGATATTAATCTTGATGTGCTTCGTATTCAGGGATACAGGTTCTTTTGCAATAAAATCTGGCAAGCATCAAGGTTTACACTGATGCAATTTCACAGCAAATTCGCACCTGCGGAAAAATTTGATGTTAGTTCTTTTCGACGTCATAGGTTTTAACGTATGGGAACGTAATGCTATGTTAAAGGCGGAATTCACAAATTTGATTTTCGATAGAAATGTGGATTTAGAAGGTTCTAAAGTTGGACATAATTGTAGTGCTTTTGGTTGATACAATAGAAAAAAGTTTTTGTTCCTTTTAGTTGCCAAAAGAGAGTAGTACTTTGGATCGCTGGATTATGTCGCGATTGTCTTATGCTGTTGAATTATCTAATAGTGGGATGTCTAGCTATCAATTTAGTCGCGTCACGACTGCGCTATATAATTTTTGGCAATATGATTTTTGTGATATATATATTGAAGGATGTAAACCAATACTTGCTAATGGTGGTAAGTTCTTTCAGTCGTTATTAAAATATCTAAATTGTTTTTAAAAGTTCTCTATGTCGTACCTTTTTTGTATTATTTTTTATTAAGATCTCTGTTTCTTGTACTCTCTATTTTCTGTTTTGTAAATTAGTTCATTTATAAAAATTACTGATATCTAGGGAATTCTAATGGTGCAGAAGTTGTACGAAAGGTGCTCTTTGAATGTGTGGAAACAGGACTGCGACTACTGTCACCGTTCATGCCTTTCATTACTGAAGAGCTTTGGCAGCGATTACCATCACGTACATCGAGAGAGCAATCAGAAAGCATCTGTGTTACATCGTATCCGGAAGTAGAACAGGTTTGTTCTTTAAAAGTATTCTCTGAATTCTATTTTCGAATAAAATAGTAGCTTTTTACAACATTATTTCTTCTACAGTATGCATTCCGAGATGAAACACTGGAAAATCGAGTAGCACGTGCAATGCATATCGTGAAAACTGTTCGTTCCCTTCGCTCCGATTATGAACTAACAGCTAAAGTTAAGACTGAACGTAAGTTTCATCCAGATGAATGAACATTTTTATATTTAAATGCGAGCAACATCAAATTCCATGTTATTGTTTCTGATCATATACATTTTTTTCAACTGGTCTCATATTTAACATTTTGGCATTTAACATTTTGGCATATACATTTTTTTCAACTGGTCTCATATTTAACATTTTGACCAAGTTATCTATTTCAGTTTACATCAGTTTCGAAAATAACTCAGAAGTAATGGAAATGGAAGATCTTATACCGTTAATAACTATTTTGACTTCCTCCTCCAAGGCTTGCTTTTTTTCACATTCATTCGTCTGTATACTTTTCTACCGAATTTCCACCATAGTTATTATCCATTTTAGAAAAAACATATTTAGAAAATGGATAAGACGTTAAGACCACATAAAGTTTTTACATTTATTATGCTACTTCTTTTCAGGTTTCCTTACTAACTGCGGATAATGCACAGCAGATACCACGAGATTCTGTGCAGCTTGTTGTTTCGGCAACTTGCACGATTTCACTTTTGCTTGAGGTTTTGGCTTCTTTAATTTTAAAAAATTGTCTCTCTCACCGAATATTTTGTCGCAATAGATCCACAATGCAAAACATTCGATGTGATGATTGCTGTTGCATTTTAGGGTATAATCGATGTTCCCAAGGAAATTACGAAACTAACGGACAAACAAGAGAAATTGATGGTTCAATTGCAGAAATTAGAAGAAACAATGTCCAGTCCAGCCCATAATAAAGTGCCTTTTGGAATACGTAGGAATAATATAGAGAAGGTGAAGTAGCTTATTTATTGCAGATTATGAAATGTTTGAAGAGATTGTTCAGCTATTTTATGAGTTGTTTCAAATTTTTACTTAGAATTTTCAGTTCATTATTAGCGTTAACATATTCTGGTTTTTCTGGTCCTAAGGTTTTTTCATATTTTTCCTCGAGAAATGAATGGAAATAGAAATCTTAAGAAAAAATGAAAAGATTTCCAAGTGTTAGGAGCGATTAACCTTCATTTTCAAAGTTTCAGGCAGCGTCGCTGTTGGCGGAGTTAAAGCATCTCAATGAAGCCATAATCGCGCTCAAAAACTCACTAGCATAAATTAATCTCTGTATATTATTTTTTTTTCTTTTTTATAACTGTTTACTTTTTACAAAAATTTCTGTTGCTTATCTGCTTTTCTAAATTACTGATGATACCCAAGTCAAGTTTTTTCATCAGCTTCGCAAGACGCTGCTTTATCTGAATTTATTCCATTGTTTACATTTTACTTTATATTGTTGGTATTTTATTGTCTCTCAGTTGCATTGTTGTTAAAAAAATATTTTTGTTCGTTTTTGCAACTTACATGTAATCTGTCAAATGTATATTTTGCTGATGTAAGTAATAAAAGAAATTAGAAACTTCATGATGATTTCAGGTAGTTCTTGGTAGATTAAGCAGGATGGAGAAAAAACATCAATTTCAAGGATCTTGAGATGAGTTTAGATGAGGTTAGAGTTGTGATTGTTTAGCTTGTGGTCGCAAGTTTCTTTGAAGTGCTTCTTAGAGGAAATGCAATATAAGAAAAAAAGTTTTAGGATGTAGTTTTGCAAGTTGCTACACAAGTTTAAATTAGAAGCTGCTTTTGTTCTGATTTAAAGGATGTTTTGATACATGAATGTGAATTCACACGGATGCTATGAAATGCATGGAGAATTATAAATTAGTTCAGCAGCACGCTAGTATGGCTGAAACGGAACAATTGAAGTCGATTTATGAGCAGGTGGTAGCTTCGTTGTTTTCCAAGCACGTCAGATTGGAACCTCTGCCTGTTGATGAACCGTGTAAGATTGTTGTGGATGAGGAGCTATCGTCTCAGTCATGGAATCTGTCCAGGTGTTTTAATGAGTTAAGGGTATGGTTTTTTATAGAACTTAGTATCAGAAATGCGAACATTCGCTGATATTTATTTCAGTGCTTCCCTGAAAATTTTGAAAATTTAAAATGTTGATCTAATGAGAGGTCTCAAAGTATTTTATTCCAGAGGAAATGACATTGCTTCCTATGTTTAGGAAATGATACCGAATGATGATTTGGACGAATGGCGAAGGCATACTTCATTCACACATCCTCTACGTTCTTTCATTCGTGAACGTGCAAAGAGTGCCTATAGTACGGAATACTGTACCCAAGCTTTCTTCAAATTTTATGAAATCTTAATGCGTTTCTCTCATCTTTGCTTCCCCTCCAGTGATGCACAACACATTATTAGGTATCATTTATTTTAACCCGCTTGGTTGAGATAAGAACCATGGGCATGAAAATGGTACACGTGTAATAGTTCTCGAAACATTTCGTTTTCAAAATAAATACATGATTATGTATGTTTCAGAAGTTTTCACTTATGCGAATCACCTGGTGCTTTCATTTCGGCTCTAAATGTTTATTTAATATTGCAGAAAAATAAGCCCCCGTGGTGTTGGTACGCAAATAGGTACGAATTTTTCTTTGAATCTTATTTAGTTTGAAACATATACTTAAAATTTAAAGCAATGTCTTAGAAATGAGGAGAGAGTATAAAGTAAGCATTTTCAAAAGTTTTGCAGGTTTCCTTCATTCTATACTGAAATTTAGAATAAATTCTTTAAGGTTGAGAAAGAATTTGAAGAAGAGGGAAAGGGTCGGTAGAAGATGCAAAAATGAGGAAAAGAATGATAATAAGTTAAGGAAGTCTGGAAAGCCGATCTATTGGTGAAATTGCTGTTGAACATCGAAAATCTGAAATTTAAATTTTAAGTTTAAATCCTCATTACGAGTGGAATTCACCATTTGACATGTTCCTGGATGATGAATTAATTACAAGTACATGTCCAAACTGGTTTTTTGGCCCCGATAACAGTGGTGATATACTGAAATGGACCAACGAATACATTAGCGGTATTGTTGAAAAAGTTGGCAAATTCTCTTTAATAACTGCAGACGGAAGTGTATATTGTCAGGTGATCTTACTTACTTTCCCCGATAACAGTGGTGACTTTCAATTAAAATTATTTTAGAAAAAAAACTTGCAAACATGAGAGGACATAATATTGCTACTTTGTTCTTTTTATTTAAACGATATTTATTTTTACAGCTTTTTTAGTCGGAAATTCGCTGTGCAAATTGGTTGGTTAGGATTCTTTATTCTTTAAAGTTCTTTATAATTCTTTAAGTTATTAAATTTTATTTCGTTGTATAGTGGGTGGTAAGTTGAGAACACCTACATCACTCGGTAATTTTGGGATTTTAAGCTTTCAATAATTTTATTGCAAACTACTAATGGATGATCATTTTTTCAGGACAGTCCGGCAGAGCAAGAACGCGTCATCTTTCCTTTATTACAGAAGGAGATTGATATATCGTTATCATTACTGGAAACCAATGGTACATTTGTTGTAAAGATGTACACATCATTTCTTGACAACACAGTAACATTGTTGAGTCACCTGATCATGTGCTTCAAAGAGGTTCATGTCATAAAACCTTCCTGCAGTAAACCAGGCAATTCTGAGGTTAATGTTAAATTTGTTTATCTTTGAAATTTTGGGTTTGCTGTTGTTTATAACTTTTCCTGTTTAAACTTTCAGAAAGTTTTATTAAACAAAAATACAATTTCACTGTAATTTCATAAAGCTCCGAACAATGTTGTTTATTTCAGGTTTACCTGTTATGCTCTGGTTATGCACCATGTGAGCAATACGAAGAAGGAACAGAACTATCTACGTCTTGTCGAAAGGTTCTTGTGTTTAGGAATTCTTTCTTATCCAACTTGTAAAAATATTTATGTATCAATCAATTTTTTTATATTCAGGCTTTATTGGAATGTTTAAAATTTTTTGTGAAACATCAGATGCAAATGATATGGTTCAATATTGCAACTTTTGGTAAAATCGAGGTATCTTCTTAACAATTTTTCCTATAAAACAGTTCATCAGTTTTTCTCGTTTTTCTGTTTCAGGCAAATCCAATCTATCATTTCCAATTTTTTTCGCTTTCGACTTATTTCAGAATGATTTGAAGGATTTCATTGAGCAGAAGAAAACACAAGCAGCAGGATTCTATGAGCAAATGATGACTACATCAAATTTTGAAAATTTTGCAACCGAACTTCTTTCATCTTCTTTTACCCTTCTCAAAAGGTGATTTATGTATGAATGCACTGAAAGTAATTAACACCTTTTCCACATTTCTATCAATTTTGAATTATTATAAATTTTGAAATATTTTTAAATTTCCTTATTATTCTTGTTCCTCAGACCCAATCCGTGGAAGTTTTCAAAGCTTAGTGGTTTCATCGAAGAACTACGAAATATTACTACTGAGAATGCACAGATTTTGATTGAAAATATGGTAAGTTAAAGGCAGCAATTTGATTTTCCAGATAAGTCTAATTTTGAACTTTTCATTTTTAAAATGTTTCTCTTTCAAAAATAAGATATTTTCAGGTAATTTACGATTTTATGAAAGGAAATAATGTTGCAGCAGAACAGAAGTTTGACATATCTCCTTGTTGGATTTGCGATTGCTGTCAGTGGGCTGATAATTTCTGCATTAGCAAATGCAGTTTGGAAGAGATCCTGAAGATAGGTGATTCACCATCAGAATCTAGCATAAAACATACTCTATTCTTAGAACCGAAGACTTTGGCACTGTTGAAATGTGCCTCTCTGGTAAGATTTAAATCTCGTCGATTTCTTATTGTTTGAATTTTTCTACTTAATAAAATAAGACTACTTTAATTCAACTTCAATATCTCGACACCTTATTTTTATGCTTTTTGGCACCTTTCGCGAATCTACTGTTCGCTGAAAAGTAGTTTGGATACCTTTTACTTTCGGGAAAACAGCAATTGGTTTTTAGGAAATCCTGGATATCTGTTCCGTTGTTTCCTCATATACCGTTGATGTGAGTCTCGAAAGAATGGAAACGGCGCCGCAACGCAAGTCAACATTTGAAATCAATTCATCTATACTCAGATCTCAATTTGATTGGATATCAGTCCTTGAAGAAATATTTCTTCATGCATCGAATCATCAGGTTATTTATTACGAATTGATTTTGCTATGGAAACAATAAATTAGCATTCTGTTTGAGGTAATTTTTATTTTTGTAATTCTTGGAATTTTGTTCCTGTAAGATATCTTTGGTCAAATTTATTTGTAATAGAGTTATTTGTAATACTTCTACATCTAACTAGTTTTTTTGTTACCCGTGACGATTGAAATTGAGTTCTTTAATTGGGGCAAAGTGGATTTTTGAATTTAAGAATGCTGCTTTAAAAAAATTGTTAAAAGGGGTATAGCTTATATATCTTTGGTTAAAATGTTGGATTATAAAGAAAATGATTATTAGAAAATACATTTCTTTTACAGGACTCAAAGCTGCAAATAAAAATACCTTCTTCCTCGTTAATGCTGACTCGTTTCACCATCTCATTTATGGCATTCTGCTCTCTGTGTTATGAAAATATTGTATTACTATGTCCTGAAGAAAATTCTGACATGACATCTAATCAGCTAATATGCCGTAATTCAGTAAGCCTTCTTTGCCTAGTTAAAGATATATTATCTTTTCGTCATATTGAGTTTATTATGGACCACGTATATGGTAATTCACGGTTGTGACAAATTACATAGGCAAGTTCTTAAATCTAAAATGGATAAATCTATGAAAAATGGTTATTATGGCCAGAAAATGAAACCGATTTTCTGATTAATGTTTTTTTGTGAAAAAATAAGAGATTAATGTATTTTTTTAATATTTTCAAAAATTTGTAGCGGAAGCATATTCACAACTATCCTGAACTTCTTCGTTATTTGTCGATCATCAAGGAGAAGTCTTTAGGTTAGGCTTTAATATTTATGAAATATATCAAATCAGTTTCTAAAGAAAATCTGGTGATTTAATATTCGCCTGAAAGGGATTACATATGCAAAATGCAGCAAATGAGCATTCATTTTCGCAGTTCGATTGAGCTTTGGTCATGTAACTGAACTCTGACACATCCATCATGATTTTGCTATTTGTATAAAGCAGTATATTTAAATAGCTCCTAATAGTTTAGTAATAAACTCATTCTAGGTGTTATTCGAGATGGCTTGCGTATTTATCGATTTGTTCCCGATTTTCAATTTAGATGTGAACACTTTTACGCATCGGTATTACGTTATAATTCGTTTGTGGCACGAAGAATGCTGGTAAAGTGCAAATTATAACGTTTATTCATGTGATAAAATCAATTTCAAGTAACAGCTCATGCAGAAAATTCAATCATCGAGTTAATGAAGATTTATGACATTTGATTGGTGTGGGTTTCAAAATTATGAATCCCATAGAAATTAAACATTCGGATGTCAAAATTGACTTAAGCTTAATATTCAAATCGGATAGAAATTGAAGTCCTCAGAGTGAGAGCTGATGGTGATGTATCCGAAGTGATTGTTTTTTAGTCAAAGGATCTCCATTCAGCTGAAATAGAGATGTTCCACAAGAGCAGTATATATATAATTCAAATCTATTATACCAAAATTAGAAATAAAAACTGAAATTAAGAAGGGGTGAAATTTAGGGTTTTGAAATCTTAAAATTGGTATTTTTCTCAGTCGGAATAAAAGATTGCAACAGAACACGATTAATATCTGTTGATTTACTCATTTACTGTAGCAGTTTCACTAACTTTGAGCATTTGCATTGTTCATGATGACAGCTGGTTTCCTTTTGAATTTTTCGATGAGTTTTCAACTTCATTCCTTTGCTTTTGATTTTAAATTTCTATCTCTCTCCAATAGTTCAGTGTCATTTTGCTCAATTTACCATACTTAATAAACTTATCATAAATAGATGATCAAATTTTCTTTGAGATTTTATCGTTAATTTATACTTAATTTTATCTCATAACAAAGTTTTATTTTTTTGCTACACTTTCCTTTTACCTTTTCATATATTTCTAATTTTAGGAAAATAAAATGAAAAGTGAGGTGTTTTTAAATAAGAAAGTCAATGGATTGCTTGCTACTTGCATTTACAATTCGTCCTTTGCATGCACATTTGATTTAATTTCAAATTTCTTTCAAGCAAATATAAATTGAGATTTTCCAACATATGAATTCTTCTTCTTTAATATCCCATCGGTATATTCGTAAATTTTTTAATAAAAATTTCAGATAGACAATTTTTTGTTACCCATCTCCAAATCTTAAATGAAATTCCAAAACATCAGTATTAAATTAATAAAAAAATTTATTGGCAAAATTTCGAGCAGATGTATAAATTATTAATGGCAATCGGCAATTATTTTTTATATGAAAATCACGATTTATCCTGAATCACTTTCAATTCGGTTGCTTCTTCTTGAGAGGCTCGTATCATATCGGCATTCCGTATATGGTCGAAATATTTACGGCATCGATTGAATACGAAAAGTTGACAAATGAGATAAAAACCAATTAGTATCATTACAATCTTGATCATTAAGACTATCAAAAATCGTGTAATAAATTCCTTATGATGGCCTGAAAGCATCCTTCAGAGATGTAAAAGGTTAAGCTGTAATGGCAGTTGAACTTTACTCTTATATTTTCTATTTTCCTCTAAACACTAAAACTTTAATGAATAGAATCAAAAGATTTTAAAAAGATTTTTTTTTTGATAAATTTTTCTGTATAGCGATGAAAACGGAAAATTCATTTTCTGTTGAGGTAGAAGCGAATAAGATTAATTGAGATTATTTATAAATGATAAAACTTTAGATATGCTAAAAGGTAAGAGTGTTGATGTGTTTAAAGGTTCGCTTCCAATGGTAAGTAACAACAATGGCATGATCGATCTATTATCAAAATAGAGAAAAAATAGGACTAATATAAATGTTTGATAACATTTTATTGCTATGTTGACTATCGGCTTCCGGTTATCTTTAACGGAATATACAAAAGTATACCTTGTCCAAATGTATCCAGAAATGTCTGAGTACTAAATAATGCCGTTGTAAACATGACGATTGTTGCAGATAACCAAATTAATATTGCTAAGACCTAAAAATAATGAAAGTATTGTCTAATTTATCTTCTATTTCGAACTCATTACGTTGTTCAAAAAGAAGATTAAAATCTATTCCTTTTCCTTCAAAATCTTAAACTATTTCATCAAAAGATTTTAGTTGAAATTAACATGCAATTATTGGAATTTACATGAATTCAAATTACAGAATGTATAATAGCTGGCCATAAGCAGGAGGCTTGTTTTTGTCGAAGAGCATAAGCTGTTAATAAAAAATACAGTATTGGTATCCAAATGATCAGCAGGCTCCATGGAAACAGAATGCCAATTATGACTATCCAGCAGCCCATACTGAGCATAAACATAAATTTTGTAGCTGGCTGTAAAATGATTGATTATTTGAGATGTTGAAATCAGTCATTATATGGTTAATAAATTGAAAATGAAATTTGGGCAGATTCTTGCTTAGTTTTATTCTTTCCTTAATGATACTAAAATTTCGCTTCCTTTTAAATTCTTGCTAATGAAATTGTAATAATGATAAGTAAAGTAAATTGTTAGGCACTATATTTTCTAACATAACGTATACTTTATTTACAACAACAAAATCCATTATGTACAAAACTAATGCTAAAATTGAAATTTAAAAATAAGGGTAAAAACGAACATAAACATGAAATTTATCATTGAAGCAACGAAATGCTGGATTATTTGGTTCAACATCAACTTTTTTGGATACCAAATCTGTGAAATACTCTTTGATTGGTACATCGTGAATTTTCAAATCGATCATTTTAATTAACTGCAATTACAGTTATTAATTAAAATGTAAAAATCTATAGTTGATTACTATACACCAAACTACAGACAGCTTCATTCATAGTTTTTTACAAAAATAATATCATTGATGATAAAAAGAACTTATGTTTGATGCAAGACGGAATTATATCAAAGTTTATTTAGTTTATTGGAAGAATTAGAATTCGATAGATGGAATAGCGTAAAATGAATTTTATCATTCAGTTAAAAACATATTCTTAAAATGATTCTGAAATTTTCGAAATATTGCAGTTTGCAATTTCAATAATTAAATGTTTGGCGATATTGTGAAATCGATCAATAGATGATGATAAAAGTAAACAAAAAATAAAATGTCATAAATACACACTGTGAGTTTTTAAAATGCAACGCAAAGAATGAAATTTGAATTCTATTTTCAAAAATAAAGGAAGTAGTAGTGACGCTTCCTTTTCGTCATCGATCGAATTAGTTAGCAAAAAATGTTTTAATGGCAATAAAAGAATAGTAAAAAATGTCTGTGAATCATCGCTAATGTTATGATGAAAACTGAAATTTCTCTATCAATTTTTAATGAATACTTATGTTTGACCTATGAACCCAAACTTCTTATTCAAAAAAGCAGCAACGATTAAATAAATCATTCATGAAGTTTTGGTCATAAAATCATTTGAAATGATTGAAAAACATGCCACCCTTTTTATCTCGATTTTTCACTTTTTAATTTTTAATTATGATAGTTTAAAACTGTCAATATAATCAATAATAAGACCATTCTTATACTTTTCCATTGATAAATTTTAAATTAATAAAGTTAATAAATTCTTAAGCTCGAAAAAGTCTAAATGTTATAAAATGAATGTAAAAGAATGATTTCTAAAAATTACAACTTAAATTGCATTATATGTTGTAATTTTAACACCATAGTATTAAGTGCATACACTCTCAATGGTTTTTCAAAAGGAAAGGAAATAAGAGCATATAATTTGCCTATCCAATATATTATCACAGTAATTAGCCTTATTACAGTCTTCATTTTTCCGGAAAACCTGACTACCACTAATTGGCTTATGACATGTAGAATTTGTTAGCGTTTCCTTTTAATGTTTTTTTCTTAGTTTGAATTTTTCCTAAAGTATCACAGATATCTTCCATTCTTTGACAAATAATTCATTATGACAATAATAGAATAATTGATAAGTGAGCAAAACAGAATCTCTTCTATTTAACATATTTTAATAATTCTTATACAAACTTATTAAAATCTCATTCTATTCCTAACACGCAATCATCTTTCATATACCTTCGGCAACATGTTCGATCAGTATTGTATACCTGGAATGCAACTTGGATATATATACATGATATTCTAGCAGAATGAATAAAATATCTTGCCCAATAATAGTTCAAAAGCAATAGATGTGAATAACTGATTATTGTAATATAAAAAAGGAAAGAGATATGTGAGAATCAAATGGACAAGGAGAAAATTTGCTATATATGATTATCTTCATTGATAGATGATGATATCATCGTGCTGATAACATAATTATCAGTCAAACATATGCAAAATGGTAGGATAAATCAATTAAAAATGCATATTTTGGGAAGAGGTTTCGAAAGCGCTGCTACTCTTTACACTTTGATATGCTAGTAATATGGCAACAACTCTGTGCACTACTTTTAATATATCATAACCGGTTTTTTTCCTGATTTATGCCTATACCTATACTCACACCTTCCCATACCCTATTCTATCTATATTATTAGTTTACTACCACCTCAAAATATTTCTTCATGAATAGGCGAGTTAAACAAAGAGACGCAGAGATCTTTTCTGTGCTTTTCTCATTATTTTATTTTGTTTTTTTCGAAATTTCTATTATCAAACTATATGACATTATTATTGAAAGCTAATTAGTCATCTATGACATTTTTTATACTAATTACTTAATTATCGTTTTATTTTAAATTAATTTCACAATTCATTTTAATCGCATTAATTTCGAATCTAAAGTTTGCAAGTTTAAATATGCGTAGAATGCTTCAATCTGAGAAAGTGTACATACGCTGCTGTAGAAGAATATTAGAATCATTGAAATAGATAGATGTTATGGAGTTTATATTGCAGCACATCTGCGGATAAATCCGAGTTCACTGCTTATGCATCCTATTGTATTCATTTAATTACCCTACCAGTTAATAGATCATCAGAAAGTTGCAAGTATGTAAATGAAGTCGATGAAATAATTAGGTTTCTATTTGGGAATAATTATCAGCTCGAAAAGAATGAAGAATCGACCTATATTATCTGTAAACCAAAGCAATGCAATATATAGTAAGATGATTGATTGTTGAAGTTTTATAAACAATTAAATAATCAGGAATTGGAAGATTTAGAAAATGTGTAGCAATTGAATTTTTGAAATGATTACATATTTGAACTTCCTGCATATAATCAATTCAAAATTTTTTAAATAAATTTTGGTTTGCGGAATTGTTTTTGGGAAAATGAAGAACTTACTTATTTGGCAAAATTTGTTTATCATATAAGTTTTTTGTATTGAAAATATCGAAGAATTCATTCCCTGCACACTCATTTTTTATCTTAAGAAAAGGGAAAGTTTAAACTTTAAACAAAAAGTGAGATGTTGAAGTTGAATAATTTCACTTTCATCACTTCCAATCTTTATTTTCTGCTAACTTCAGAAGCAAATGATATTGCAAACAAATGAATCAAAAATTTTTGTTTTTTCTATGGATAATTTCAACATTGATCAACACTAATTAATCAATGTTGAAATCATCTATAGAAATAACAAATTTTTGGTTCATTTGTCTGCAATACCATTTATGATCTAACAGCAACAATTTTCTTGCAGAGAAGAAGTATATGTAATCTGTCACAGTTACATGCCTGAAAGTGAAGTACGCTTACATCTATGAATGAATTCATTCATTATTATATCATCTATAATTTTTCTACTACATCAACAACGGAGGAAATTGACTATTAAGAAGATTTCATATAGCAACAACTAATAATGATATCATCTCAACAATAATCATTGCAAAGATCTGGCATATAAGATATCAGACAGAAATGATATTCAAACGTGCCCTTTCATTATACTAAAGAAGATGAATTTCAAGATGGTTTCATTTATATCTGAATGTAGAATCATAATTTCAGCATATTTCATTAAATATTCTTTACTTATGAAGGGAGATTTTTTCAAAAAAAAAAAAGTTGTAAAAAAGTTACCAATGAAATCTTCTAAATATTTGTTATACAAATATGCAAAATCAATATTAAGAAAATCAGTAAATAATTTAAAAAGAATTTTTTTTTATCGACAACAACTTCTTGATAACAAATACAATAACAAAAGAGCAATAGAAATCGAAAACATTATCGTCACATTACGTCGATTTGCATTATTATTGGAGGTTTCGCTATCGGCGTAAACAGTAACACAATCATTTGTTGCAATTTCTTTTTCCCCGCAAGCCTTAAAAATAAATTTTAAATCTTAAAAACTCTATTGCATATTTAAATTCTTTACTTTGAATTGAATTGCTTTGTTTTTTGCAAACGCCGCTTTTATTAATAAAAATGAGAATTCAAAAATTTTATTAAAAATAATAAAAGTATTTTTCTTATTTTAATTTCGTTTCTTTTCGTATGAGAATGCAATATAATTGATGGTTAAAATGAAGGTCAATTATGATCTCAATTGGCTGATCGCAACAAAATAGTTGAATTACCTTATTAAGATCATCGATCGTATTCAGGATAGTGGGAGAACTTAATGTGACTAGTTGATCTAATTTGCATGGTACCGAACAACCTGGTACAAATAGTTCATGAATATCTTCATTTTCTGTTTCGTTTTTGTATAGAATCTGCAATTATGATATATTTGATAGTAAAAAAGGCTTACATGCATATTCCTATTGTATTTCCTATCTCATTATTTCAAATCAATTAATCTAATTTGGAAAGTAAGAAGATCAAATTAAAATCTTACCTTGACTTAATTTTATCATCCTATTCATTCTGTGTTCATTAAAAATTACTAAGACAACATGCAAGTTATTTATTTTGCCCCACTAACATCATTATTATAAAAGATTGACATATGAGTTTGTAAAATTTGAATTCTATGAGCTCTTATATAGTACTTCAATTTTATCTTTGATCCTCAGTCAATGTGATCATCTGCTAAAGCTCATTCTTATGTGATCTGTTTTTTTATAGCAGCAAACTTAGCTTATTTTAAGTTTTCATTGGAAGATACAAAGAAAGTGAATGATTTTAGGATAAGTTGGTTTGAGCTTAGCAAAGATATGCGAATTAATATACTTAAGATTTTCAGTATGTAAATTACTACTTCATAACCTCTATCAATATTTTCATGAAAAGATAAAACAGGGCAGTCAGTTGTAATTATAATTACTGGAAACAATTTTAAAAAAGCAGCAGCGCATTTTGCTCAAATGATTAAAATTCTATTAAGATTTTCATTAATCAAAAGAAAAGTACATAACAGTGACTTCAGATTTGGCAATTAGAGAATCGAATTTACAAAATTCTTAAACTAAAACTTTAAAGAGATTGCGATTTCAAGTAATTTGGCGAGAAAATTTAATGGTTTACAGCATGCTTGTCAATTATAAAATTTTTTGAAATAATTAAGTAAAAATTATAAAACTAACTTTTATAATTGTTTCGTTCATTTTTGTTTGGTACAGTTCCATAATTAGGCATGCCGAATATGGTACCAATAAACTGTTGCTTACATTCAATGCATGCTGCAGTGATGATATCGTCGCATCATGCTGGAATTATCATTTTAATAAAATAAGCTCATTTATTGATTCATATCATAAAAATGATAAGAATGGTTAAAGTAAGTGCGTTTTTAAATTTGAGAAGTTTTGCTAGTCTATCCTTTTTTTCAGGTACTAATCAAACTGAAATAGTTTTGCATTCATAAATATTTCTTTTTACAATTGGCACAGGAAAATGCTTGAAAGTATCGGAAAAAATTTACCGCAGAATAGAGAAACATTTTATGCGCTTCTACTTTGATCCCAGCTGAAACGTTCTGAAATCGATGCAGAATTTCACCAAGCAGCAAACCACCTTTAAGTCGAGCTTTTTCAAAAGTATTATATTTCGAAATTTGCCTCATACGACTAAATTCCTTAATT